CAAACTGGAGGTCGGCACTCGGTCGGACGTCGTCGATGATTGCGTTACGGCGCTGCGCCGATTACGCGTGGTCGGAAAATGTCCACTTTGTTAGAATAGTGACCGACGCCAACGAGGATTCAATATCCGGTCACGAAAAACCTGTTTTTTTAAGTTTTGCAACAAAAAAATTATTTAAAAAATTTTTTTTTGAACAATGTGTATGTGTTAATACCTGAAGCATATGTTAAACTTAATTTCCGTAAGTTTACGGCGCTGAACTTTTTTTTGTGTGTTTGTTTTCGCATAAGAATGAAATTCAGATTCGAATTCAAATTCCCAATTCGTCGAATGCGAGTTTTCCTCACGCCTTGCGCCGTGATTTATCGCCGCCGCACAAAATCCATTTTTCATGTTTTGATTTCGCCTCCTAAAGCATTCGAGCTGCGAGCTTCCAATTCGACACAGCGGGCATTCGCGCCTGATTTACTCGAGAAGCTTCCAACCTTACCGTAGGCAAGATACACCAATATCTTTCACGTTCAAATATCACAAAACCTTTCAAATTATCTTTTAAACTTCACAAAAATCATTTTTAAATATTATTTCTACATAAAATACATATTTTGAACTAAAATAAAACAAAATAAAATAAAATTTGCTTTGTTTGGAACACACTGTATATGATGCTGAAAAAGTATGAAAAATGAAAATGACATGCTTTTTGTGCGCGAGATGCGAGACGGTTTTTGTTCCGGAGGGCGCGTTCGAACGCGTTCCTACCCTCGTTTCACCCTCGTTTCTCGTTTTCCGTACAGCTTCTGTGCCCTGGCATGCCTATACGCGTTGGATGAATAGATGCAAGCGCAAGATAAATAGACATCGCGTCGGCGACAAGTATTTATCAAAACGTACGATCGCTATCATTTCGAAACCAAACAAACAGAAAAAACAAACGTGCGTACCTATATGAGTGTGAGTGAGTGTGTGTTTGACCCATATGAGCATATGGTTGCAGTTATCTCTTTAGTTAATTATTTGTTTGTTTAAGTCGGGAGATTTATTTTATTATTTGATGATTTATTTCTTTTGCAAAGTGCAGTTACGTGCTTTAAATTAATTTTAAAGTTAAACGCTTAGTTTGAGTTGCCGTACAAATGGCGAACATTTATATATCCAGTGCTTTTTTTCTTCAATTTTGTGATTATGTTTGTTTGTAACGCATTCACGCAAAAATCACCGAATCAATTTTGATGAATTTTTGTATAGACATAGTTAATATAAAGGAAAATAACATAGACTACTTTTTGTTGTCAATAAACAATATAAAGGGCATAAAATAAAGGATGAAAGTTTGTATCCACCAAATTTCTATTAAAATCTACGCGGATAAAGAAAAAAATTACTAATTCCTAAATAATTTTATAAAACTGCTTCCCTCGTGTTTATCACCAAACAAAATGAAATTGATGCATGATGATCAGGTAATCCATCCTGAGTCAATCAAGACAGGTGTAACAATAGACCGTTAGAGTGATGAGAGCCCCCGCTACCCCGGCAGGTATTGAATATCTGACATTGTTTCCTCCTCGTTTTGTTTGACGTACGCGTATTATGAAGAAAGCGAAAACAGTTTAAGAAGACTTTGCAAACAATTCGCGGCGCAAACATTCAACACATCGAGCGTATTAAAGAAGCGCGTGCACAATGAAACGCTCGCCGACCAAGGGAAAAAAAAGCGTTTGAGTTTGAGTTGGTAAGTAATGAGTCAGAATATGAAAAGAATAAGAAAAGTTGAGAATATAAAAATTGTTAAGAAAACGTAATATAATGGATTATCTTGTTTTTAAACTTTATCAGAAAGTTTTTAATTAGAAAATTTTATTTTTGTTTGAGTTTTAATAGTTACTAGGTTTTTTATACATAAAATTATTAATTAATTTAATAAATAAGTTTTTCCATAGTTTTGAGACACAAAAAGTGGTATTTTAAACATGAACGGCCAAGGTCGTGACTAAAGTACTTTAATCACGGGATTTAGTCACGGGGTGGAGCTTATATTTAGTTTTTACATTAATTTTATATTTTTTTAGTAGAGAGCAAACAAATTTCGAAGATTTAAAATACAAAAATTTAAATTTAAAAGTCTTAATGTGGAAATTGAGTAAAAATAGAAAAAATAGCGCAAAAATCACGTCGCTAAGCGTTGCTAAAGTGCAAGTTGATCACAATTGTAAGACAGAATACGTTCAGAAATTAATTTTGCGTCTAAACTTCTCACTCCGGCTACTTTTTGGGGTAAAATATAATTTTTTACACTATAATAATATTATCTATAGATTAAAATGCATTTATCGTAATATTTTTACCAAAAACTGCGTTTAAAATAAAACAGAATGATATAAATGATTACTTTTATGATTGACGGTGAGTACGTGTTTGTGAATTGATTAAAATTCATTGAATGCGCACCGTCGTCCGCAAACAGCGCATATCAAAATCGAAAAGCACTCTCGCCTCCCCGCGCTACCTCCGCCCCCATCGTTTTGGCACTCATCGCGCGTAAAAACCAAACAATGAAAAACCAATTTTGGCGCACGTCGCGCACCGACAAGTCAATTTCGCGAGCGCATAATCGAATGACACCTCGCATCTCGCAAAAGCTCTCCGATCAACTTTAAACACCCGCAAAACATAAAACAAATATTGAATAAGAAAATATAAAATTATTTGTATATAACACTGAATATATTGTAGAATATATTGTGCTATGATGCAAAATACACATTTTGTATTAAAATTGCAAATAGAGTCTAAACGGTAAATGTAAGCAAAAATAGTTACTTAAATAATCGATGTAGAATTAAATTATCTATCAGAATCCGGGAACAGAATTTAAAAATTTGCTTACCTTTGCGTTTAAGGAAGTCGCACATCACTCGGGCACAATCCAAGAAGCATTGAGAAATATTACGTAATATCGCGACGAAAAATTAAGAACTCAAATTATTGTGAAGAATATTGTCTGTGCGTGCAGATTACCCGACGACAAAACTGAGACTAACGTGGTATGCAAGCCAACCGCGTGGCGACCGCACAAAAATCACGCACGAGATAAGAAAAACTTGTTTGTTTGTAAACACTGATTCTTTCGATGTTGAAATACAGAACATGAAAAGAATTGAATTCATACAATTTACTTATGCATGGAACATCTAATTTATAATTTAAATTTCGAATTAACAAGTTCCAATTATTTCAAAAGTTGCATTTATTGAAAAAATCATAAAAAAAGCAAAAGATTTCTTTTTTTATTATCAAAATTAAAAATTTGAATTTTTAAATTCTAATTTTGGATTCTGATAGATAATTTAATTCTACATCGATTATTTTAGTAACTTTTTTTCCTATCATTTACCGTTTAGGTTTTATTTACAATTTTATTATCAAGTGCATTCGACATTAAAAACAGATTTTTTTTGCAATTTTTATAACAAAATATTATCTTTAAATTTTTGGACCGAAAAAAATATCAATAAACTAAAATACAAGTAAATATGCTTTCAAGTTATTATCGCAAATTTCAAACTGCCTTTACACTTCAATTTTTTTATTTTTATTTTGTTGTGAAAAGAAGCCAAAAGTAAAGTTTTATGTTTGTCGTTCAATCGCATTAAGCGAAGCTTTTAGGTGAAAAACTTTGATGTGTGTCTTGCGCGTAAAAAATAGCTCTCAACGCAAAAATTATATTTCCATGGTAAATAAACAAGTAATATAAAATCTAATTAATTAAACAAAAGCAAGTATAACTTGACTATCCACACAAACGTTTTAAGTTGGTGCTGTAGTCTTTTATTGCGCATTACTGCAGATTAAATTCGTCGGCTGCGTTCGTGCGTTGAAATCAAATCGCAATTTTTCTCATCCGCTAATTGGAAAATGCGCCTTCGCTTAAAGCACGCCTCGAGCGGAAATAAATCCGCCACAATGTAGCGGCGCGCATTCACTCGCCGACGCCGCGCCGGGAATCCGCGGCATCCGCCATTAAAGTGCTTTACGACGTAAGGCTCGTTGCCGGATTGAAGTGAAGTGAAGGAATAGGACGCGGAAAGACGAGAGCGTGAGAATGTGAGCATCCAGAGAGCGAGAGAAACGCGCACGCCGCGAATCGTTAGCGGCCGAACAAATGATTCCAATTTCGGTCGTATTTTAATTGAAAGCGAAGCACTAAAAGCGTTCGAAAATCCGATAGATGTGAAATAGCAATTTTCGAATATCTACCTGGCAATCCAAGGCAATAAACAACCTGGATTATTGATTTGCCCAGCGCCTTCACCATAAAATACTAAAATATGAATAAACAAAGTTTAAAAAAAAATTGAAAAAAATTCAAAATTGACTGCAAAATAATTTGTTATTAATTAGAACTATTCTTGTTTAGGTTACGTATTTTCCCCTTGAATAGGAATGATAGTTTCAAAGTAGAATTAATTAATTAGTTCAAAACTATGTGCGATTTAATTTAAATTGTGATACAAATAATTTATAATTAAATTCTTGGTGAAATTAAGCAAATAAATTTGAAATTTTCAAACAAATAGCTTGAAACTTAAGATAAACAATTAATTTAATAATTTTGTTTGTTAAATTGACTAAATTGTGAATAAATCAGTAAGAATTTTAATCATTTTGTAAGTTAACGTAGAAAATCAAATTATTATTGTTCAGCTAATTGCATTGGCTACTATTCTGAGATTTATTGGCTTAATTTACTTAATTTTGCAAATTCAGTTAAGTTTACTAACGCAATTATCATCGTGGCGTTGGGTCCTCGCTGAAAATGGTATTTTCTCTAAAGTCACTAAAGTCATTACCTTTCTAGAGTCTAAACTTTGATCACGGTCCTTCCGACCTTTCCACCCACGAAACCCTTACAATTTAAAATATTCACATCACAAATAACAAGGTTAAAACATAAGATATACGAGTATTATTTATCTAAAACTTGTATTTTGTTGTAGATCTACGTTTAAAGAAATAAATAATCGTCCGGAAGTATCTGGTTTCTTTTAAGTGGAAAAAGAAGCCCGTGAAAGATGAGCGCCAACCCGAGCACCACGCCGAAGAACACGAAAAATGACGACACGATATTGGAGATTCTGCAAGGACACAGGACAAGCAAGTGGCCCGCGCCGAAATTGGTGAAGATTTTTATCGCTAGTGATAAACAAGGTAAAATATTTATTTTTGTATTAAAAATAGTTTTTATTATTTTTATTTTATTTTCTATGAAATTATTTGATTTTTTTGTGAAAAACAAAGAAAAAATTACAAAATTTTTATTAAAAAAAAATTTCCGTTATTCTAATGCTAGTTTAGCATGACACAAAGAAGTAAACTTTCCCATATGTTCTTAAAACGTAAAAAAATCCCTCTGAATAAAAGTAAAACCAGAATCATAAGCATACACAAAAGATACAAACCCAGAGGACATCTGTAACACCAACATTCTGTTCTTTTCTTCCGACGTCCGTTTCGTGGTGGTAATGGTAACGTGTTCGCAAGTTCATGAAAACGTACGGAGAAAGCAGCCCGATGATAAAGCACCTCGGCGCTGCAAATGGCAGCGGGATGAAATGGGCCGGAGTGCCCGGGCGTCTCCCGGCGCGCGCTCCGTAATAAATAGGACGCGCCGCGATGGTAAGGTCCGCGCGGCCGCCCTCGGGCGAGATGTTTAATTATCCTTCCGGTGTTTTCGCCCACCTGGGGCGCATCGCGCGCGTGCATCGTGCACCCAACAATCGATAAATTACTTTATTATCTCATTACACCTTTGTGCGCCTTTTGAGCGCGCCATGTTTAACACGCGGCTGGTGCCAAACGCTGCACGTTAATTATCGTAATTGTTTTCATTTTGGTGTGGTGCACGGGTAACTCAGGACCAAAATGGCATCTTAACTTTGACCTTTGGGGGATATTGATTACATCCTTAATCAGGGATAACGTTTATATACACTGCGGAGTGAAATTTTTTCTTTTTAAATTTTTTTTGTGGTTTTAAAGTTTAATATTGATTTTTGAACAATTTAAAGTTTAAATAATTTATAAATTTATTTAAAAAATGATTTACATGTTTTTATTTAGTTTTTCTGTGGTATTTTAAACAAGGAAAGCCAATAATGTGACTTTAGTACTTTAGTCACGAGTTTTAGTCACGGGGTGGAGCTTGCGCCTGCGCATTAGCTTACAGTGCAACACAAAACAAGTCAAAATAACGTTTTTATTTGTTTTTATTTATTTTTTGCATTTTTTTCAATTAAAATTGTTTAATTTACTATAAAACTATTTATCTCTAGTGATAAAATCTCAATTTGTTATTTCACTACATGAACACATTCCCTACCTTCAATAAAACAATCAAAATCAATAACTTGGAAACATTCCAATTGCAAAACAACTCGAAACAATGTTTTATTCACATCGTGCCTTTGATTTCAGATTTGAATTCAGTTCGCTCGTACTTAAAATAAAAATTGTAGCGCGCACGCATTTGCGCCGGCAATAAATCATCCGTGCTCGCCGTGCACATTTCCACAAGCCTTTTGATCAATAGCGTTTGCATTATGACCGTTTCTCGGCGATTTCTTTTATATTTTCTCTCGCAACAAGTATCACAAAGCAATGTAAGAGGACGCAGAATATGAGAAATGAAAGGATGCTGTGGTGCTGGAATGTGAGGGATGAAGAAAAAATGCGCGATATACAGAAATATAATAGGGTCTAAATGGGGCAGCATTTCGCGATGCAAATTGCGTATAATGTACATCGTGCACATTCCATTGGATACAGAAAAATGTTTATGGTGAAAATATATTAAAATTTGTGTAGGTAAAAATATGTTGTTGGATTAACTGTGAATATTTAGGGAATTTATTGGGAATTTATTTGGAAAAAAATATTTTGCCTTAAATTTTGACAATTTTTTTTTTTGTACTGATATTTTAACATTTGATTGTTTGATTGCGCTAAAATAGCCGCAACTGTTTGTTAACGTTGTAAACGCAGACAGTTTCGATTTTCTTAGCGTCGGTTGATTGTGGGTTATGTTTGCTTATGCTAGGCAACTTAATTTACAGCCTTGCAGACTAAAGCTCTAAGCAAAATGAAAATTTCCTTCGCTTTTGCGCCTCACAACTTATAACAAATTATAGTAATTTTGCGCCGCTTGGGTTACATGCGAGTGACGTTGATTTATGCACTTTAACTACGTAGGTATTTCGTATCGCGATTGTTGCAAAGCGTCGACGGGCCAAAGGCGCGCAAAACTAACTAACTAAATTCATCTATTTTCTTTAGTTATTCTCCATCTTATTATTACATTCCTGCTGAGTTACAAAAGAAACTTCATTTATTAAACGCTACCAGCCTGCTAGGCAACCAACAATACAAAACATAAAAGTTTTGTTAGTAATTAAATATGAAAAATATAAAGAAACATTAATTTTGGAAAATATCGTATGATTTAAACATGAAACACAAAACGTGGGAAGAAAAAAGAACTTTGTTTCACTTTTTCCAGTTTACATTTACATTTTGTTCGCTTGTCCGGCGGCCAGTCGGCATCCTTCATTTGAGAACTTTGGAAACTTTATGTGTTCGCTGCCGGCGATATGAGCTGTGTTATTTACGTGGCTTTTTGCACGGCGCGTACAATTTAATTAAATTACTTCGTTTTTCGTTTTCGTCTCGCTTCTTGCGATACGCTTTTTCTGCGCGCGCAGGTTTTTCTTTCGCCTCATTATATCGCAACACTTGGAAATGAATTACGTATTCACAAACGGATGTAAATGTCTGCAAATGACGCCAAACAAAATGTTTCTTTACTGTCACGTTTCTCCAACGGATGTATATATCATTATACAATTGTTTTCTTATTATTTACTTGAGGCAAGAAATAAACTCAGCAAATTTTTTATCAGATTGAAGATTATGTTAGTAAAATAAGTTTTTTTACCTTGTGCTCTATGCTTTTTTCTTTCCTGAATGAGGAGGATGATGGAGATGATGATAATGATGATGATGGGAGAAAAAAAACGAAAAGTTTTTAATAAAAGCCGCGATTAAAGAGGGTACGAAGAAATCGAGCGAGTTTATTATGCACTTATTTTTATGTATCATTAGACGCGTTTAATAATAATAATAACAATTTCGTGCGACTTCATTGGCGCGCAAGTCGGTAAAAAGCACGTTTAACGGCAATCGATACTTTTGCATGGTTGAATGTAATTATGGTAAAGCCGCGAGAAAAGTTAATAAAACTAAGTATACATAAATTAATTACAATTACATTTTTATTAAAATATGTTATATTTAGTGTATCTATAGGTGTATGTATGTGTGTTCCCAATTGACAACGAAACAACTGAACCAATTTTGATGAAATTTTCAGAAAATCTTTAGAATACCCTTGTTAGTAATCTTGTAAAGTTTGGTTGCGCAATTATAACTGGAAGCCGGTTAAATAAGGGATGAAAGTTATTATTGAGATGTACACATAGTTAGGTAGTATAGTTATATAATTTGAGACAAGATGACGCTTAGACTGATCAAAAATCTTTAAAATTCTTCGAGTTACATAAAAAAAATAAAACATTTCAACCAGTTTCTTTTATTAAAATCTGCCCGGATGAACCAAATGAGTAAAAAGTAGTTTTTCATAAAATTTAGTATTCTCCTCGGGTATTCTACCGTCCACTATATGATTGTAATAAAAATGTTGTTTAAATAAACACGAATTATATTAAATCACAGAACACAATTTCGGCGCAGCTGCTTTTTTCCATTTATTTGCTTTCCATTGCCGCGCTGACGCTGGAATTTTCCCTGTGATGTTTTACTTTGGCGTTCTGCTGCCATTTTCTTTGTTTTTCTTACTGAAGGATGGTGCAAAACTAAATAAACACGTCGTTCTCGGGCCCTTTTGTGCTCCTCGATGAACATGCGTAAACACTTCTCTGTGCAGAGTCTTCACTCTTTCGTCTTTCGACGTCGTAGACTTTCGCGGCGCTTTCTGTGCGCTTCCGGCGCGAAGCTTAATCTTAAGTTATACTCGCTCACAAAGCACACGGTTCACTCTTTTGCTTTCAACTTGGAAAAATGCGACTCACGCAGAAAACGTCAAATAAAACTAAAAGTTACACTCACACTATCAGTGATAAATTTCTATTGCTATAGATTCGTAAACGAGAAGTTAATACTCGTACAACAAAATTGATGTTTTAAACTCGCATAAATGTTGAACACACGCGCGATGAAATAACTTACGTCATTCGATTACTTGCTAATGTCTCGCAATTGGGTTAACACTATGTAAATTGAATTCGCCGGAAAGCCGAAAACTAGCAGCGAAACTTTTGCCGCAATGTCCGTTTCCAAAGTTTTGGATTAGTCGTGTCACCGTACTAATTTCAAAATGGCAACCCAAATTAGAATCACAATGGTGTAGGCAACAAAATTACATAAAAATGTTTTTTTAAATAAAATCATTTGGTATTTTAAACGTGTAAATTAAGTTACGAACGATTGCTGAACGGAAATGTATAAGTATCATCCCCTGCGGCAATAAATTCGATTTGCGATAATGTCCCCGGGGGACTCCTCCATCTGCTCCGGATGTGAACGCACCACGCCACCGACGATTAATCCGCTTTAAATCATTCAAAATAACAACCAAACATCCACAACGACACGCGGCATCTTGCGCGTCCTTAGCAAACACGCCGTCATGTAGATCGCAATCTCCAACATCAACAACACAGTTTAGTATGCGCGAGCGAGAAGAAAATATTCTATTTTAAACCCGGTTAGGGGATAAACCTCTGCGGTGGCTTTTAGTTTCCCAGGAGTTGGGCCAGCGAATACGAATAGGAATAGTGGTTGATATGACGCGGAAAGCGCTGTTAAATTAGTCAGCCAGGCTGAGACGACGTCATGCGCGTGCCCGTTAACGAAACAAAACAACCAAGGGCGCCGCAACAAGGGTATGCGAGTGGAATAAATCAAAAGGGCAACAAGGCGCAACAAAGTCTCGGTTTGAAAGGCTCAAAGGACACCCGAGGAGCAAATTGACTGCTTTAAATGAGAGATAAATGTAGTCGACGATAAAAGTTTGGGTTAATCACAGCCAGTTGCTATAGGCAACCAAATCTACGAATAGTTACGTGTGTTTGTTGGGTTGCCTTGAAAATACACTCGGATTACTACTATGTATTAAGTTAATTTAGATGAATCGGTGGTTACAAAGTTAAATAACAAGAATCTAACCGTGTTTGCAGACTTTGCAGAGGAGAGAAAACTATTGCTGGAATTTGTAGGGCCGGAGCTGCAAATTGTTTGCAATGAATACCAAATTGAGGTTTGTAAGCGTTAAATCTGCTGATGTGAAGTGGGTAAATATTGAAAATAAATTTGTTTAGGTGGAACTTGTCGATATGCATTATGGAACTAGTGAAGCTGTTGTATATGATCCAGCACTGCAAGAAGATCATCTAGATCAAATACGGGCATGTCATCAAGTCTCCAGAGGATGTTTTTTTCTAGTTAGTGTTTTTTTTTAATAATAAAATCATAAAAATTAATATATTTTTTTATAATTAGCCTCTACTTGGAAATAAATACTCACCATGCGCGTTACCATATCGTATCAGCTCGGAAATCATGTCCGCCATGTTGAAAATCAACGCAGACATCTTAAGTAAATGGTATATACAAAATGGCGATGAATATATCTTAAAAAGTGATTACAAGTACGTAAAAACAATGAAAATGCATTGTGTTTTGCATTAAATTAATAAATTGATCTGAATTGACAGAAAATTAAAATATGACGAATGGAAACCGATTGCTGACAATCTGCATCAGGCGATAACCGAAGCAATAAACCAACAGGACGAGCCAACAAAGCGGAAGTGCGCGTCGCTGTTGCAATCGATAGTCGAGCGACAATTCCACCACGCTATCGGTATAAATAAGCAAACTGATTTCCAATGCAGCGGTGTCAAAAAATTAACAACGTCGGGTTGATTTTCCGCAGGATTGGCACCTGGCACCGCGCATCGTGTACTCAGCGTCCTGCGGGACTTCGATCCGCTACCAACAACAACACCGGATGCGACGTCAACGTCTAACGAGTATAGATTCCAAGTAAGTCTCATGTTTCCAGCGCGGTGCAAACTTCCGACTTTCATAAGTTTTCCGCTTGATATGTCAGCATATTCAACATCTCCATATTGTGTTTTTATTTGTTTGTTTTTCAGAATATCGTTGAGGCTCTAATACCGGAAGAGAACCGATGTTATTTCAAGTAAGTTGCTTAAAACGAATCAAATCAATTTTTATTTGTATTTCTATTGCTATGAATAAATTAAGAGTGCCTTGGAGAAGCGGAGGATTGGATCCAGAGCACAACGATCACGAAGCATACCTCAACAAATTCAAAAACACAATCCTCAATAAACTGCAGACGATGATCAAGAAGTCTCTCGATGATGAACCCGACCTCAAATCGCGCAAAAAGATCGTCGAGGAGAACTTTCAGGAAAACATCACTCACCTAACGATTAATCACTTTGAAAAACCTGTTATTGACTTTTCTCAGTCTGACCTCCTTGATCGCATCGAGAAGGTTGTTCTTAATACGACGCATACCCGTCACAATCCTATTATTATTTATGGCAATACCGGATCGGGAAAAACGTCACTGATCAAAACTGTCTACAAACAATTTGAGTCGTGGTTCTCTTGTAAATTATTACGAATTGTCCGCTCGATTGCAAGGACTCCTCGGTCATCCTACAATTTGGAGTTGTTAAGGGTTATATGTCAACAGATTTGTATAGCTTTGAAACTTCCCGATGGGTTTTTACCAAAGGACGCCTCGTTTGACCCGTTGTATATTAATAATTGGTTTCAAACTCTTCTGCGTATGTTTGAAGATATGAATCAGGTGTTAGTGATATTCCTGGATGATCTGCATTTGTTGAATCCATTGGATTCGGATCTGGTGTCGGCATTAAGCTGGTTACCAATCAGTTTACCGAAAAATTGTTATTTAATTTGTACCAGTGGAGTTGAACTTGATGGGTTGAGACTTACGCCTGTACAAAAAGAAAGAATGAAACATCCTGATTGCTATATGGAGTTACCAGGTGTTGGAGGGTTCCATGGTAAGACGCCAAATGAAATATTTAAATTTAAATATTAAAATATTTATGATGATTTAGAACAATTGGATGAAACATTTTCTACTTTGGAGTTAACTTTTGGTACACCCGCTATTAAAAGATTATCTTCGTTTATTACCTGTGCGGAATATGGTTTGACAGAAACTGAATTATTAGAGATGTTGATGCCTACCAGTAATGTCACAACTGAATCAGTGATAAACATTGAAAATGCAGATTTTAATTTTTCCACGTTATGTTCAGTAAGAAGAAAAATGAGTAAGTGACTTATAATAAAAATTAAATCATATTTAATATTGACTAAAATTGAAGGTGACCTTTGTTGTGAGAAGCTAATGAGTGGTAAACTGCTCATTGAATGGCGACATCAGAATATTAAAGACTTTGCAAGGAAAAGATATCTAACCTCACAGGAAGTGCAAAAGAGTGTGCATACAGAAATAGCCAACATGTTCTTCTCAGAATTCTGTGATGAGGAGAATAGTGAATCTGAAGATGAACCAGGTATTCCCCACAATCATTAAATTGTTTATTTTTATCCTATAAAACAAATATTTTTAGCTCCTTTACCTTCAGACATCAAAGAAACTCCTTTCCAATCAACCCTACATAGTGACGTCACTTACAGTCTCCGCCATGTTGAAGAATCATGGATACACCTCCTCAAAGCAGGAGATGTCCTAAAACTGAAAACATTGACCATGTGCAATTATGATTTTATGTTGGCCGCTGTAAGTTCCCATTCATACCCATTTTGTAAAAATATGTGAGATGTGAATATTTGTTTAACAGGTCCACACAATATCCGTAAGTTACCTGCGTTGCGTGCTAGAACACGTTCGGTGTTACCTGCTGGACAGAGAGATTGAATTGATCTATCATGCCATTCGCAAAGCAACTGATATTTTAACGAAAGACACCTATCAACTAGGCACACAAATCATTGCCTGGTTGCGTCCGGTAGTAGAAAAATCCGGTTCAGGGCTAATGAACACCCTGGTCACCGCTGCAATGGCCTGGTGTGACGGGTTTACCCTTCCTTTGGTAGTACCATTAACTGACTGGGTACAACCCACACTACCATCACAAAGTAAAATTGTAAACACACCAGGTGTGCGTTTGATAGAATCAACCCCAAGTGGTCAACATGTAATCTGTTGTCCTGATAATGAACCTCAACTGTGGCACATCATGAGCAACACTCTGGTACACACCTTCAAAGGTCACACAGGCATGGTCATCTGTATGGCTGTGACAAAACAATCGCAATACCTCCTCACAGGATCAGAAGATCTTAGTATCATTGTCTGGGACCTTAGAGGTCTTACTATGACCCTGAAAATAATGGAGCATATAGCACCAGTGTTGTGTATTACCAGCGCATTGAACAACTCTGTGATTGTCAGTGGAGGCGAGGAAAGTAGTATTATTGTTAGTTCATTGGGAAAGGGTCAAGTGGTGATGAAGATTGACCATCATCGTGGACCTGTGACTGCTGTAAAAGTTACCTCAGCCGGAGATGTTTTGGTCTCGGGGAGTCACGACGCAACTGTATGTCTGTGGTCTTTGGAAACATTCACGATACTGAATACAATTCAAATGCAATCTCCAGTGAGGATGATTGATGTCTCCAGCGATTCAGTTTTTTTATTGACTGCTTGTTTGGATAATAATCTTTATCTGCGTACTCTAGCAACTGGTACCGAGTTGCATTCGCTCAGTGAACACAAATCCCGAGTCAAGTCTATTTGTTTGGCTCAAGATAGTTGTCGAGCAGTAGTGGGATGCACAGACGGACGGGTTTATATCTACGATGTTCATAGTGGAAAACTAGCAAAAACACTTTCAGGTCAGCAGGGTGAAGTATCCGCGGTGCGGGTTACAGATAAAGATGATTTCCTACTTACCGCAGGTAGAACCTTTTCAGGGATATCTTCAGGGTTAAATTTATATATGCTGAATTTAAGGTGGAAATAAAGTGCTCTTCTATCCGTTTCGATCCGATGATAACGTGCGGAGTCTGCTCAAACTGAAAAAGTCCGCACACCATCTACTCCCACATACTGGTTACATCACCTGCGTCGAGATTGCACGAGATGGACTCTTGTCCGCCACCGGAGCGAGCGATAATCTCGTCAACGTGTGGCAGCTCAACACGCATGAACTGCTTCTAACTCTCAACAGCCATTCAGCCGCCATCACGGATGTCAGTTTCGCGCCGAATACTTTATTCGTTGCCTCCTCGTCCGAAGATAAAACAGTTAAAGTTTGGGGCTTGACTTTGGGATCCCTTGTGGCCACTTTCAAAGTAAACACTATAAAAATCAATATAAAACTTTTTAAACATTTATTTCATTCATAGGGTCACCAAGCACCGGTTTCCACCGTGATGGTCATGATGGATTCAACACGGATTATCTCAAGCGATCGTAATGATACCCTCTGTATATGGTTAGCTGACAACGGGAACTTGATACAATCAGTGGCAGGACCATCTAATTGTGTTGGAGTGACCAATAATATGAAATACGCATTGTGTACAAATGCGGAGACAACTCTCAAGATATGGTCCTTGGTTCGTGAAGATGAAAAATACACTGTATCTCATTCTGAAGAGATCACATGTTTTGTAATTACAATGGATTCTCTGCATGTGATCACAGGGTCCAGGGATATGTCTTTGAAGGTGTGGCAGACTTCCGGTGGGAAGTTGTCTCAGGTATTCATTGGTCACACTGATGCAGTCACTTGTGTTGCTGTTTCCGCTGCGGATAAAAACATAGTCATTAGTGGATCATGTGATTGTAATCTTATTGTTTGGGATATCAATACTGGAGCTGACCTGCATACGCTATCAGCCCACCTGAGTTATATTACCTGTGTGAAGTGCTCGGGAGATGGCACCATAGCCATTTCCGGTTCGGATGATAAAAGTATCATTATTTGGGATACAAAGAGAGGGTTGCCACTGACGTCCCTACAAATGCATTCTTGTGTGATGCGTGTGGAACCATCTTCTGACCTGTCGCGGATTTCGGTTATGCTGAAAGATACGCAATATATGCCAATTATTTGTCTGCATAATACACCGGCAAAGTATGTTAAATTGCCTACATACTGTGCACCTGAAAAGGATATAATTGAAAGTGAGTTATGACCAGTATTTGACAACATCAAAATTTAATTTTAAATTAATTAAATTTTAGATCCTACTAAAGCTGCACCAAAACGTCAACTACGGCGTTTGCTCAAGAAAGAAGTGTCGCTGGACACGTACACGTGGCAGAAAAAATATGCGCACTTAACCTCAAATCTAGTTATACCAGCGGTTGATGAGAGATTCAAGCGCAGGTTTTCTGTTTCGGCGAGTATGGAGGAAATTTCCAAGATACCACAAAAAGATGGCCAAGTAATAATTATAAATTCCATTAATTTTCAAAAATTTTACCAAATATTATATTTTAGGGCGGGTTGCCTAACAAGCAAGGATCTCTAGCCCAGAGTCAACATTTTGATCAACTGGAAGCTTTGTGGAATAAACGATCTCCTCCCAGACGTAAATTACAACAAGTATGATGAAATTTATTTATTTATTGCATAACTTTTAAAAATATGTGTTTAATTTTGCTTCAGTCGCTGTCAAAACAATCTTCACTTGCTGAATCACACCAGGACTCATCAGATGAAGATCAATTTGATGAAAGCGGACCATGCTCGATACCAAAACGATAAGCAACTTGTTGTACAACTTGATTTTCCTACTTTTATAACGACACAAGTCCCATGAATCATTGCGCAGTGCTCTTACTTCCACACTACACCTACACTCGTTGATTAGCTAATTCTAACCTATTTTTACACCTCTCTTCCTCACAATCAGACCTGTCCAATAATTTCTATTGTTTTCTGTTTTCTCCTCCAAAAATTGGGCATGTCTGGTTTATGTGTTATAGAAATAATGCAAACATAGAGAGACAATCGTTTAACAAAGCATAGAATATATATGAATAGATCACAATCAGCAAAACAATATTATCTAAAAGTGTAGTCGTATTAAAATAGTTACGAATCAATTAGAAAATAGCGCGTGCGCTTGCAATATTTAATTATTAATTGTCGTCACACAATATACATCTGAATGTTGCACGTTGAGTTGATGTATATGCAAAACAAATTGACAGACGATGATTCGGTTCGCCGCCGAGACAATATCGAACAAATAGCGTTAGCTGAAATAACTAGACACAAACTGTAGCTCTAATAGAATATAAGCGTAAGAAAAATGTCGCACAATGACAATGAATCTAATCGATTTATGATTATTTCCAAGCATATACACGTACATGTTATATGTATGTTATCTCTCTCTTTCTGTGATGTAAACTAAAAATTTATTCGAATTATTCGAGTCTTAACTAAATGCAAACATTAATATGAAATTAAAAACACAAATCGGAAGACAACCTCATACCTCTAGATGAGTAATATATCCAGAGTATAAAACAAACATTGTAATTGTTAGAAAATAAATAAACTGTTGTTTTTATAATAAAATGGCGGCACATGAGTCCAACTTTAAAATACTACAACACTTATTTGGGATAAATAATCTTGTTGTTGTAAACTCACCGACATATTTGTCATATTAGTCACTCGACTTTCATCAATCGGACGTGTTGTGATTAGGAAACTTCACATGAAACTCGGTGTAATTAATATTCCTAATTGGATTCCACTGCTTGTCCATGGCGACCAAAACACAAGCTGACCCCGCGATTGATAACGCGTGGAATTTCGATCACGCCTCCGAAAAAAAATCTCAACCGTTTTTTTTTTGCGTGATTTACGATGGCGACACAACTGCCTAACAACCGAATTCAATGAACTTGATGTTTTTGCACATTCATGTCGTTAAATTTATCACTATCGTTCACGTGTGAGTACACGTGTCCTGGAATGATCGTAAAACTCGCCATCGGTTGTAATTCATCAATTAATTTAAACGAATTGTGAAAGCGTGGGTGGATTGCTAGATGATGATGAAAAAAAAAGATAAATAAACGGGCCGATGCGTTGTGAGTCATGTGCGGAGGTTACGCGGCGATCCCGGATCTGGACTTTGCACACACGTTGAGTAATGCGACACAGAAAAGCGAAAAAATGGCTGCGTTCAATCGAAAAAAATCAAAATCAATGCATCAATGTGTCAGAAATTGCGAAGTTGATTTTGGCATCGCTGATAACACTAGCAAGCGCACAAACGTAAACAAATTCAATGCTAGATATGTCAAAAAAGAACAACCTTGCAAACATTCATCAAAGTTGCATCAAATTAAATTTAGCAATGGGAGTTTTACGTTATGTGCGAGTGCTTCTTGTTTATATTTAACTTGGGAGGCAAATTCCGCACTTTTGGAATTCTTATCGCCTCGTGGCGCTGAATACTGATAATTGAATTTCAATACTGGAAATAACTCAACCGATAACACTCGCCAGCGAAGAATTTGAGAGGGTCACTTCCAGGAGCCACGCGACTCGTAAACATATGCTTCAGGTTTGTTTACAACTTTTGGGCGATTGGTTTTGTATGTTTTTGAGGTCAATTATTGACTGTGCAAATTTAGTGTCTTTTTATTTTATTTTATACAATTAACAAACAAATTCAACGCGCGTGCCTTAATTAATTATATAATTATAGAATTAATTAAAGTACTAGAATGAATGGCGAAACTCACATTCCGATTTCGTTTCGTGACTGCGTGACTGACTTGAGATAAAGTTTTTGCTTGTCAAAATTCGGTTTCTGCGTAGTAAAATCGGAAATTCGATTCACGCGATTCACGCGACGCCGGCCTGAAATTCGTCCGCCGTGTATTACTCTAGTTCCGATAGAGATACAGGTTCAAGGTTCAGTTCAATCATCCAGCACCGAGATGTTCGGATCCATCATCAACCGCCTGTCACTCGACTACTGGTGGGGACAGCGCGTTTGTCGGACACTTATTCCAGCGATCACTGCCGTGCATCGAGCACAAATCACTTGCTACCACCAGCATTAAAATGTCTAACATTCAACTTGCGCCCACGCTGCTGGTCCTCCTCTTGGCGATTGCCGCCTGTTCGGGTGGTAACGATCATCGTCACCTGCGAAGTGTCCTCGGTGCTTTCTTCGATTCAAACCTACCGCAGGTGGTCAATTTACCACACAGCACCTGTACGGGTTGCTCAAAACGTTATCAAGTGGAAACAACCGCGGATGACTTTCCGGATGAACAGAACGCCATCAAGGAAGTGGACCATCACAGCATCACAGCTTTGGAGATTACAGCACTGCGTATTGAATACATCAAGAATCAAATTTTGACCAAATTAAGATTGAAGGAGAAACCATCTTCGATGGCTCAATTGCCGCAGCCTGTAGAGGAAGAAAACCTCGTCCCACAAAGACCCACATTGGACATCAATGATATTCTATACAGACACTACTCGGATGATTTCTACGGAAAGACCACAGAGGCAATCATCCTGCCCTTTGAAGGTGGGTGTAAAACATTTAACGAGTTTTTGGTCCACGCACCAAGTCCGGTTCTGATTGTGACCGATCATAGTTCGGAATTTCTTAGATAGCCTCGGGGTCCGATAATACTATGTTGTTGTTTTTTTTTTAATCACAGACGAGGCAAAGTGCGTCCGAAAGATTCGTAACCCGTCCGCTTGTGTGCCGTTCCAAATGCCCAACGATATTGCCGCTTCAGATGTGAGCAGCGTCGAGTTGTGGTTCTACAAGGAGCCCGATGTACTGGATACCCATAATCAAACCTTTGTGGTTTCTGAGGTCGCGCATTGGGATAGCAACAAGAGCTTTCAAAAGAACAAACCCATCGCCATCTTGGAGACCGATCTTGATGGTAAGCACAGTTAAAGAAGCAACAACTTTGGTTACATGGAGTTTTTTTGTAGAGGGTTGGATCAGAGTGGATGTGACATCTGTGATTAAAAACTGGTTGATGTATCAAGATTCCCCAACGCATGCAATCGCTGTAGCATGTAAAACATGCGGAATGGATATGCAAAAATCACCGATTTCATTCAAACCTTCGTTTAAACCTTTTTTGATGATCAGGACGTATGCACCCCAACTTCCGGTGCCTGTAATGCGTCGGCCTAAACGCAATGCTCACAACTGCGTCGCTGGATCAAACGAGTGCTGTCGTGAGAATGTGTACATCTCCTTCGCGGAGATCGGATGGGATGATTGGATCATCGAACCGAAGGGTTTCAACGCATACTTCTGCAGGGGATCATGTCGCACCGCTGCGTCCCTTACAGTGTATCCATCAGATTTGTACAGTATACAACGGGTAAGCTCTACAAACCAATATTTAAACTTAAGCTTATGAAGTGTGGTTATGTTTGTAGAGAGCCATGTTTGGCATAAACCGGACAAAGACGCAGACGATTGAATTACAACCGTGCTGCGCGGCAACACAGTATAGTTCGTTGGAGCTGCTCTTCTCCGAGACGAACAAGACGATTAGCAAAAAGATCATTCCGAAGATGATCATTGAGTCGTGCGGATGCATGTAGTGCGCAGGCGCGTTCGCCGCTACAGTATTCGCCGGTGTAAAAGACAAAAGACAAATTGTGATCTTTGAAAAGCTTACTGCATTTTCTTCTCTCACGAAAAGCTTTATTTATTGTTTTATTTTTATTTTTTAATATTATGCTTGTTTCGGATGATACGTGGAGATAATTAGCTAAATTGTTGTTAGCGTTGCGTAATTGAAAGTTGTTGATGTGACTTGATCTGTTTTTTTTTCTTAATTTATTATCGTACTTTATTTATACGTTGTATCGTTGTTTTTCATAAATATTTTCGAAAATTGATGCGTTCTTATTTACGTTCCGGTTCTGGTGCCTTATCGGCGCTGAGAATTTTTGGCACGCAAAAACATACATCAAATTGTTGAAATATGGCATAATCATGGCATTTGTAATAAATCGATTGTCAGTTGGTGAACGAGCTTATCAACAGATAATATGAATCTACTTTGCGTTGCATAAACAGAAAATATCCAACATCATATTATTATTATAATATTTATATTGCCAAACAAATCCATCTCTTTTTTTGGCCCTAAAGTTACCAATGATATACGTTCCTTTGTTGCATTTGAAAATATGACAACATATGAAGTGTGAAGTTATAAATTGACACGACACGCAAATATTTGTTTTTGATTTTGTTCATTGTTGATGTAAATATGTAGTCTGATACGATAGTTATTCAGAATAAAGATATATAATATTTTCTCTGTGTAGTTTATGTGTTGTCCTGCAAATTTTAGATAGGTTGTTTGGTTGTACAAATTCAATATGTTTTTTTTAAATTGTTTTATTTTTTTTTACATTTTTGGGATGCTTGTAATTTAAAGAGTTCTAGAATTCAAGGTGGTGGTTTTGAGAAGTTTCTCCCCTCACCCATCTAAATGTTTAATAGCGGGTGCAAGAGGTCTGGATCTCCATGGAAATGTCCTTGGAGACGGACTTGTGGGAGAAGTCGGGGCTGGCGCCGTTCTCGATCTGCTGCTTCCACAGCTTGGAGACGGAAGACTTGGCGACGCAGTGCACGGGCACCTTCTTGGTGGACATGCGCTCGACGTTGCAGTGCTTGCGGCACACAGGCTGGGGGCGGATGGTGAAGCAGATTTCATCGTCGCTCTCGATCACCTTGTACTGAGTCTGGTGGGTAAGGCACTCCTGGCCATCACCGTTCTGACCACGGGCGTGGGCGTTCTTGCCGTGATGCTGTTGCCACTGCTGCTGCTGGCGGCTGTGGTATTGCTGGTGGGCGCGACCGGCATCCTGCTCGGAGATGACATTGGCGTACTGGATCTCGGGCTTTACGCACTCAGTTTGGCTTTGCTTGCCCTGCTGCTTGTAGTTGTAGCGACCTTGGCGACCCTCGGCTTGCTCAACCTGGTAGGCGGCGACGAAGGCATCCTCGTTCTCGTAGATGCAGTATTCGGGGGCAAGGAAGTCGGTGGCGTATTCGCCGGTGTAGGTACCGCAGAGACCACGGACGGAGCCGCGGAGCTTGTCGTGGGTGGCGGTGAGCTTGACGCGCTCGCCATCATAGATGATGTAGTAGGCCTGACGGACCTCAATCTTGACGTCACCGTCGGGAAGAGCGTAGACCTTGACAAGGCCGTGCATGATGTCGCGAACCTTCTTGTTGTCGTACTGGATCTCCTGGCCGTTGTAAACGACCTTGGCGCATTGCTTGTTGTCACCGCACTGACCCTGGGGCTTAAGATCAATCTCGATGGTCTGGCCCTCGGTGTGAGGGTGCGGATGGTCATCTTAACTTCCTTCTGCTGGCCGTTGGAGGCATCGCGAACAAGAACGGAGTACTGTTCGAGTTGCTGCTCCTCCTGCTGCTGGGAGTAACGTTCCTGGTGGCGGCTGGCGCGAGCGAACTGGGGAACGTACTGCATCATCACGGTCCAGGCATTGCCGAGGTCGGCGCGGTAGGTCTTGTTGTCGAAGGTGTTGGCGGCGGTCTGGTCAACGACGCAGATGGGACGGTAGGTGTCGAGCTCAAGAGCCTCAGACATCACGCGGTCGGTCATGCGGAAAACGGGGTGGAATCCAAAGACTTGCTTAGCCCACTGGTTGACGCGGATTTGGTCAAAGTGAGACTCCATCTTGTGGGTGCGGATAGTTACGTTGACAGCCTCAAAGTCGGGCTCGAAACGGGCCTGGATGGTCATTTGGTTGTCCTTCTCGTTGGTCTGGGGATCAACAGTGTTCTCGTCAAGGTTGTAGTAGCCGTAAGCGCGAAGAGCGTTGTAGATCTTCTGGGTGGCGTTGCGGGCCTTGGCGGAGAGATGCTCAACTTGCACGTGCACGTTGACGCGGTCAAGAAGGTTGGCCTCGGCGGTCATGTTGGCGCAGGCGGGCAGCTGCTTGTTGCCCTGCTTCATCTCTTCGTGGCACTCCTGGGCGCGCTCGGAGTTCTTAAGGTACTGCTTGCGGGTTTCGCTCTTTTGGAGCTTAGCGTGAAGCTGAACCTTAGTGGCAGACTGGAGGTCTTGACCGAAGGCAAGCTCAGCCTGGGCGGTGGTGGTAGGGTCGAACTGGAGGGCGTACTGGTAGTCAAGACCGTTGGTGTTGGGGATGTGAGCCTTGGCGGAGAAAGCAACTTCGTAAGACTGCTGGGCGGCGTGCTTCTTGTAGTAGAAGAGGGCACGGGCCTTCTCGTCGACGGGAGAAGAAGCGATGGCAGCGGTGGCAACGTATTCAGCCTTGTTGTGACCGTCAAACTCGACAGACAGGTCAACGACGCGAGCGGTGGAGGAAGCGATGCCGGCGGAGGCAATCTTGGCGAACTGCTGCTGACGAGCCTTGGACTCGCGGGGCAGCTGAGCGAACTGAGAAACCTCAGCGTTACCGTGACCCTGCTCTTGCTGGTACTCGGATTCGTAGCCAAGACGCATCTGCACCTTGCGGGCGGAGGATTCCTGGGCATCGTAGGTTACTTCAGCCTTGGTGTGCTGGATAGTTTCGTCGTAGAGGGGAGCAAGGAGGAAAGCGATAGCATCGCCGTTATGGCGCTGGAGCTGTTCGTAGGCCCACATGGAGTCAGCGAACTTCTGCTCGGAGATGTACTGGACGCGGAAAGCCATACCGGTCTGCTTACCGACGAGCTGGTTGAACTGGCTCTGGGGCTGCTGCTCGGCGTAGATGATCTTGGTGTGAGGGCCCTGGGCGACAGGTTCCAGAGAGAGGATGTCGTGCTTAGCGGTGTAAGGCCAGGAGCTGTAGTGGAACACCTGGACGTTCTTGTCTTGCTCAATGGGCTGGAACTGAGCCTGAACCTGCTGAGTCTTCAGATCGATTTCGTACTGGGACTTGATGGGCAGGTTGATCTGCACATTCTTGTCGTAACCGGCAATGTATTGCTGGTGGTCGAAGGAGTGACAAAGCCGATCTTAGCCTGAAGACGAGCGGACACAAGAGCGCGGATTTCGGCGTGAGCGGTGATGGTCTCGGGCATGCGGATAGCTTGTCCGTTGGACATCTTGGGCTCGGCGGTGGCGCGGATCTTGCCCTGGAAGTGCAGAAGGGTAGGAGCGTCAAGAGTGTAAACGAAGGGCAGAGCCATTTCAGTGGGGAAGCTGATGGCAACGTCGTTGCGGTTAATGTACTTGGTGTAGTGGAAGTCCTCGCCTTCGCGGAGCATGTCCTCGACCTGGCGGAGAAGCTGGGGCAACATCTCAATGGTCTGGTTGTTGATGGCGAAGTAGCGGGTGACGCCACCGGCAAGCTGGACCAGGAGGTCAGCCTCCAGTTGCTCGCGCTCGGGGTTCTTGATGTTCAGTTTCTCGGCGATGTACTCAGCGGACCACTTCTGCTGCTTAGCCTGCTGGAAGCCTTGCTGCTGCTGCTCCTGGTGCTTCTGGTATTGGTGGGACTGACGCTGGAAGACGTTGGTGAGCTCCTCAACGGAAGAGACCATGCCTTGGACGTTGATGAGCTGGCGGCGGGCGCCACCAAGACCGGCGCGAAGAGCGTATTTGAAGCCCTTGGGCATGACAGAGTCGTGGCTGCCGTAGATCTGAGCGGTCTGCTTGTAGAAGAGGTTCATCTCTTTGGCGACGAAGGAGCGGAGGAAGTTCTGGCTGTACTGGATGCCATAGGTGTTCTTGGTGAGCAGGGGCTGGGCGGCGCGAGCGTTGGAGGCGAGCTCCTCAAACTCAGCACCTTCAAGCTGGGCAGCGGTCTCAATGGTGGCCTTGACGGCAGCGTTGACCTGCTCGTCAGTGTCGATGTTGGTGTACTCAGCCATGCGTTGAAGCATGGACGCGGGGGGAGCGGTGCGCATCAGCTGGTAGACAGCGGCGACACGAACGTACTGTTCCTCACCAGCGTTCTGGTAGATCTTGTACAAGACGGAGCGAGCGACCTTGGGGTGGGTCTTGACAAGTTTGTCAAGAGCGAGCACCATCTGCATGCGCTGGAACTGAGAGCATTGTTTCTCACCCTCAAGGTAGGGTTCGAAGACAGCGAGGATCTCCTTGTGAGCGACGTTGCCGAGAGCGCGGATGTAAACGAGAACCTTGTGGGAGTCAGCCTCCTTGACGGCCTGGTGAAGCTGATCCTTAAGATGGGGGATCAGTTCTTGGGCAACAAACTGCTGGCCTTCCTGGGTGCGGAAAGAGCCGAAAGAGTGGACGGGGTATTGGTTGTGGGCAACCAACTTGTCGACAATAACCTTGCGGACCAAACGGGTGAAGGAAAGGATGGCGGTGTCATTGAGGATGTGTTGGCGCTGAACCTGCTCGTTCTTGATGGCAAGCTGGTAGAAAGCGCGGATGTACTTGTCGGTGGGCTGGCGGACAGAATCAGCCATAACAGCGACGACCTCAGCGGCTTCCTCGTGCTGGATCTTCTTGGAGTCAATCCACTGCTGGACGGTGAGAAGAGCGGGACCGGTGCCGGCCTCGGCGATGGCGTCGCGGTAGGCGTACCAGGCTTCAGCCTGCTGGCCACGCTGTTCCTTGGTGTACAGTTTGTCGGTAACCTGCTGCATCTCCTTCTCGTTCATGATCTTGGCAACGGAAGAAAGAATAACGTAGGAAGCAAGGGTCTGTTCCTTCTGGATTTCCTGGGGATGCTGGATCTCCTTGGCAATCTTCTGGGCGAGCTTGTGGGCGGCCTCGACAACGTTGATCTTGTCAGCGGACTTGATGGATTTGCCCTTGTAACCAATGTAGAGGGGAAGAAGAGGGGACTGAGGGGGCTGGTTAAGTTTAGCCTCCTCCTGAGCCCACTGCTCTTGGGACTCGACGGATTCCTCGGACTGCTGGACAGAGCGGGGGTGGCGGTGCTGCTGGCGACGGTACTGCTGGTCATCTTCCTCAGAAGAGTACATGTACTCCTGCTGGCTGCGCTTGGCACCCTGGCGGGCTTCGTGGTTGCCAGAGAAGGGGGTGTTGAAAGTGTAGGTCAGAGAACCGAGCTTCTGGCCCTGCTGAGGCTGCTCGAAGCTGCCGGAAGCGGGCTGCATGGCGCGGAGGGTCAGATTCAAGTGAGAAACAACCATACCCTTCTGCTCAGAGTTGAGGGTGGGGGCAATGATGATCTTGTTGGTGGTAGAAGCAGACTGGATGGTAAAACGCTTGAGAGAACCGGTAACGATCACACGGGACATGGCGGAGCGGAGGAAGAAATCTCCCATCTGGTTGGTGTTGGGCTCGAACTGACCCATACCGCCCAGACCGTAGTAGTAGCCGAGGTTCTCCTCGGAGCGGCTGAAGTTCTTGGTCTTAATGATCTCGATGACCTCGCCGTTCTTCTTGAGTTCGGGCATGGGCACAAGCTCGGGTTGAGATTGCAGAACATACTCGGGCAGAGGGGTGATGTCATAAAGGGTCTCGTAGGTGCCGGTGACGGTGTCCTCCATGGTCTTGAAGACGGCGGAGTTGTCATCACCCTCGGGCAGCTGGTTGAGGTGAGCCTTGATCACGTTCTCACCCTGGGTGTCGAGCTGAACCTGGCTGACGATGGCCTTGATGATGTTGGCTTCCCAGTTGTGCACGTCACGGTCAACGATGACATCGCGAACAACGCCGTTCTTGAGGAGGATCTGGAAAGGCTTCTCGCTGAGTTGCAACTGCTTGTATTGCAGATGCCTCTCGGGGATGTCGCTCTTCCAGCCTTCAGGAAGGTTGGCGTGAACTTGGGCGTACTGGGCGTTAGCGATCTTGGCCATGAGGACCTCGTCGCCTTCGGGGCGAACGATGAGCTTGGCCTTCATCGCAATACCGGCGTACTGGTTGGCGATGTCGGGCAGGGCAGTGAAAGTGCGACCCTGCACTTTGTATTCGTATTCCATATTGCTTTGCCAGCCATTTTGGGAGGCAGCGGCGAAGCCGACTATTCGGAAATAGACGTATTCAGTTAAAAAATTATTCTAACAAACAGGAGAAATATACTTACTAAGACAGCACAAGAGAAGTTGGGACCACATCTTGGACTCGTTCTGATGAACTCAGAAGTGTGCCATTCCGTGCTTTGCTCTCAGCTTTTATACCAAAATTATTTGCACAACGGACATCAGCAGTTTCCACAGATAAGCGCATCGCATGTTGATTTTTGCTCGTTAATTGTTGCTGATCTGCAAATTGATTGATAATTTTGAATGCAAATTAATTGTAATCGTTCACCCAAAAGTATGTTTTAATCAAATTCATTCATAAGCGTAACCAAATATTGCTATTAATGCATTAACACAAATGCATGGCAGAAATGCAATCATCAGCAATCCGTTATCACATGCGCAAAAGCTGTGTATCTTTCCGAACTGAAAGTGCTCAAAATTGCAATTTTTAAAAATTTTGACGATTTATTTCATTTGCGAATATTTCGTATACTAAAGGAGATAGAAAGGAACGAATCGCAGAGTCTCACTCTACGGAAAATTTTCAATAAAATATGCTGGTTAAATTATAAATTTAAGGAATGAATTTTTAATTCACGAGATAAACATGGTGTGGAAAACAGCCTGTATCCGTTAAACTAATTGACTATCTGAGAATTTCTTTGGGACGAATTTTTTGGCGATTACGTCAAGAAGAAAAAAGTTGTTCTCTAAAATTATAAATAGGATCTAACCGATTAATGTTATCAAAAAAGGTAATAAAATAATCGATGTAGAATTAAATTTCCGATTTAAAATTTAATGGAAATTAATAGTTCCATGCATAGTAAAAGTACAATTCTATTCATGTTCTGCACTACCACACTGTAAGTCTCAGTGTTTACAAACAAACATGTTTTCTTATCTCGTACAGTTTTTGTGCGATCGCTACGCGGTTGGCTTGTGTACCACGTTAGTCTCGTTGTTGTCGTCTGCACGCACAGTTCCTTCATTATTCTTGAGTTGCTAAATGCTTCTTCGATTGTACGTGATTGATATGTCGAGTTCGTACCACGCGGATTGTACTCGTACGTACTCAGAGGTAAAGCGTGATGCACCGTCGGCCATCATAGTCGTATTCTTTTTGTATTATACGCGTATTTCATCGGTTCTACTAAATTGGTATGTTCCATTAAGGTATGTTCTCGCATTTCTTCAGCTATTTGCAAATCAAATCCAAATCAAAGCTACTTAATTTGGGAATTTAAGCCATGAAATTTTAATTATATTATATTTATAATTATAATTAATTATATATTAGAGCCTTATTGGCGTCTAAAAACCAATTTTTCCCTAAAATTGCTAACATTAACGACTTAAGCCCTATTGGCAATTTTATTTAAAAAAAAAAAAAAAGAATTTGCACCGTAACGAATTGAAATACAACTTATGTTTTTTTACAGTATTCGCCGTACCATGTAGTTCTGCATTAACATTAACATAAACGTTAACGCTACCCTCCTACGGTGCCCTGAATGGAAGTCACTTCTACCGCTACCCTCGTACGGTGCCCTAACATTTGTCATTATCTCACAAATTGACTCCCAAAATTGCATTTTTATGTTCGAAGGACTAGTTTTTGATGGTTTTTGGGATTTTGCACTTGAGTCAGACATCATAGAAGGACCATTCTTTCATTAGAGTGTAAGTAAATAATTCTTTTATCATTTTCCTGCATAACTTTTGTGATTATCTCACAAATTGACCCCCAAAATTGCATTTTTATGTTCGAAGGACTAATTTTTGCTGGTTTTAGGGATTTTGCATCCGAGTCTGACATCGAAGTAGGACAATTCTTGCATCAGATTGTAAGTAATTAATTCCTTTATCATTTTCCTGAATAACTTTTGTGATTATCTCACAAATTGACCCCCAAATTTACATTTTTATGTTCGAAGGACTAATTTTTGATGGTTTTAGGGATTTTGCACCTGAGTCTGACATCGTAAAAGGACCATTCTTGCATCAGATTGTAAGTAATTAATTCCTTTATTATATTCCTAAATAACTTTAGTGATTATCTCACAAATTGACCCCCAAAATTGCATTTTTATGATCGAAGGACTAATTTTTGATGGTTTTAGGGATTTTGCTCCTGAGTCTGACATCGTAGAAGGACCATTCTTGCATCAGATGGTAAGTATTTAATTCCTTTGTCATATTCCTAAATAACTTTAGTGATTATCTCACAAATTGACCCCCAAAATTGCATTTTTATGATCGAAGGACTAATTTTTGATGGTTTTAGGGATTTTGCTCCTGAGTCTGACATCGTAGAAGGACCATTCTTGCATCAGATGGTAAGTATTTAATTCCTTTGTCATATTCCTAAATAACTTTTGTGATTATCTCACAAATTGACCCCCAACATTGCATTTTTATGTTCGAAGGACTAATGTTTGATGGTTTTAGGGATTTTGCACTTGAGTCTGACATCGTAGAAGGACCATTCTTGCATCAGATTGTAAGTAATTAATTCCTTTATCATATTCCTAAATAACTTTTGTGATTATCTCACAAATTGACCCCCAAAATTGCATTTTTATGTTCAAAAGACTAATTTTTGCTGGTTTTAGGATTTTGCACCTGAGTCTGAGTCGTGACATCGTAGATTGGACCAATTCTTGCATCAGATTGTAAGTAATTAATTCCTTTATCATATTCCTAAATAACTTTTGTGATTATCTCACAAATTGACCCCCAAAATTGCATTTTTATGTTCGAAGGACTAATTTTTGATGGTTTTAGGGATTTTGCACCTGAGTCTGACATCGTAGAAGGACCATTCTTGCATCAGATTGTAAGTAATTAATTCCTTTATCATATTCCTAAATAACTTTTGTGATTATCTCACAAATTGACCCCCAAAATTGCATTTTTATGTTCGAAGGACTAATTTTTGATGGTTTTAGGGATTTTGCACCTGAGTCTGACATCGTAGAAGGACCATTCTTGCATCAGATTGTAAGTAATTAATTCCTTTATCATATTCCTAAATAACTTTTGTGATTATCTCACAAATTGACCCCCAAAATTGCATTTTTATGTTCGAAGGACTAATGTTTGATGGTTTTAGTGATTTTGCACTTGAATCTGACATCGTAGAAAGACCATTCTTGCATCAGATTGTAAGTAATTAATTCCTTTATCATATTCCTAAATACCTTTTGTGATTATCTCACAAATTGACCACCAAAATTGCATTTTTATGTTCGAAGGACTAATTTTTGATGGTTTTAGGGATTTTGCACCTGAGTCTGACATCGTAGAAGGACCATTCTTGCCGCAGATTGTAAGTAATTAATTCCTTTATCATATTCCTAAATGACTTTTCTGATTATCTCACAAATTGACCCCCAAAATTGCATTTTTTTGTTCGAAGGACTAATTTTTGATGGTTTTAGGGATTTTGCACTTGAGTCTGACATCGTAGAAGGACCATTTTTGCATCAGATTGTAAGTAATTAATTCCTTTATCATATTCCTAAATAACTTTTGTCATTATCTCACAAATTGACCCCCAAAATTGCATTTTTATGTTCGAAGGACTAATTTTTGCTGGTTTTAGGGATTTTGCACCTGAGTCTGACATCGTAGAAGGACCATTCTTGCCGCAGATTGTAAGTAATTAATTCCTTTATCATATTCCTAAATAACTTTTGTGATTATCTCACAAATTGACCCCCAAAATTGCATTTTTATGTTCGAAGGACTAATTTTTGATGGTTTTAGGGATTTTGCACCTGAGTCTGACATCGTAGAAGGACCATTTTTGCATCAGATTGTAAGTAATTAATTTCTTTATCATATTCCTAAATAACTCTAGTGATTATCTCACAAATTGACCCCCAAAATTGCATTTTTATGTTCGAAGGACTAATTTTTGATGATTTTAGGGATTTTGCACCTGAGTCTGACATCGTAGAAGGACCATTTCTGCATCAGATTGTAAGTAATTAATTTCTTTATCATATTCCTAAATAACTCTAGTGATTATCTCACAAATTGACCCCCAAAATTGCCTTTTTCTGTTCGAAGGACTAATTTTTGCTTGTTTTAGGGATTTTGCACCTGAGTCTGACATCGTAGAAGGACCATTTTTGCATCAGATTGTAAGTAATTAATTTCTTTATCATATTTCTAAATAACTCTAGTGATTATCTCACAAATTGACCCCTAAAATTGCATTATTATGTTCGAAGGACTAATTTTTGATGATTTTAGGGATTTTGCACCTGAGTCTGACATCGTAGAAGGACCATTCTTGCATCAGATTGAAAGTAATTAATTTCTTTATCATCTTCCGGAATAACTTTTGTGATTATCTCATAAATTGACCCCCAAAATTTCATTTTTCTGTTCAAAAGACTAATTTTTGCTTGTTTTAGGGATTTTGCACCTGACTCTGACATCGTAGAAGGACCATTCTTGCATCAGATTGTTAGTTTTAAAGTTCATTATCTTAAATAACCTTTGTGATTATTATACAAATTGACTCCCAAAATTTATGCTTCTGTGTTTTCTTTAATAAAGAATATTTTTAAGTTTTTCTAATCAAAATTATTTCTGTTATTTCTACCTGATCACATATTCATATTTAACGATTCCTTAAACCATTTATTTTGAAAAGTGCATGCTAGTGCCATCTATCAATTAGAAACTACAACTACCGAACGTTTTGAGCTTCGGTCCGTCGCCACCAGAGGCAGCACATTACTAGTTTCCGCCAAAACTTTATCAGCCTCCTCAACTTCCTGCGATCCTAATATTCAATCTTTATTTTGTCGACTTTGGAAGGCAAAATGACACAAAATTTGGACTCGAAACAGACGAAACTCAGGTTTTGGTATTCGGATCGCAGAAAGGGTGAGGAGGTATGTAAATAAAAGAGGCGGTAAATAGTAATGGCGGGTAAAATGAATGTTTAAAAATCTTTATTCAGTAAATTCGGTTTTCAAATTCTGAAGGATCTCGACAACTATGAGGGCTAGAAAATTAAGAACTACATAGTATTGATACTTGAAAAATTCTCTACAAGGTGGCATCATTATTGAAAAATCATTAAAATAGCACAAAAAAATTTTAAAGAAAAGATTTTATTAAAAAAATGGCAAAAGATTTCTCTTTTTTATGGTCGACATTAAAAGTTGGAATTTTTAAATTCTGTTTTCGAATTCTGATAGACAATTTAAATTTTCGAAATTTTGTCGAGAAATCCATTGAAATTAGTCACAAAATTCTTTTGAATATTAGGATCGCAGAAAGTGCAGTAGGCTAAATCTCTTGAATAGCGACGTAGTTTAGTTACTCGTGGATAGATGACACTAGTAATACCGTTTTTAAATTAATATTGATACAATATAAAATTATTTTTGAACTATTTCTCATATCTAGCAGTGGTATTTCCATTAAAGTTTAAGGGATTTATGGATTAATTAAAGGAGTTACAATGTTGTGAGCTATGTTCTCCGTTGGGGACAAATAACACAATAAAAATTTATAGTTCAAAATATAAAACAACAATTTTATTCAAACATGTAGAATAACAAACTCAATTTCTTAATTTATACAACATTTTTAACAATACAAGCATGAAAACAGGATAATAATATGCAATTAGATAATGTTCTTTTTATATCTTTTAACAAAATACATAAAAATTATATCAATATCAGCTTCAAAATGTTGTAAATTCATTCAATCGTATTTGGAATCATCATCAACACCGGCAATCCAATCTTCAACTTCTTGGACACTATAAACCAGATTGAATAACAGAATAGTAAAATGTAAAATATTATAAATTACCAATATATAACATACGTTCTTGGTATTTTAGTCCAGTTGACACATCCATCTTCAGTAAAGGACACATCATCCTCAATACGCACTCAGTACCCCGGAACCTCTCCACTTGCTCCTTATTGATAAACTTAGACATCTCAGGATAAGCCAGCCAATGCTTCATCCAACAACTGAAAAATATTTATGTAAATGAAATATACATGTAATATCAGAAATAAGATTTAAGAAAAGAGTGTACACGAAAAGGAGAGGCCATCGTTTAGTTTTAAGCTTAAGTTTAAGATGCTACGCAGTCATTTTACGAGTGCAAGAGAGATGATAAGGGAGAGAATAAAAGTATGTACTCGGTATGGAGGTATGACGTTTGGAAGGGATGAGTGCTGAGGGTCAGTTTTGACCTACGAGTGATGGACAGTTCTCGAAGAGCATTTGACATAGACGTTTCATTTTTTTTTGTACCACATTGCATTAATAAACTAGCAATATCATTTAACCACACTTGTTCTAACTACTAGAAGTAAGAACCTATACCCTATCACATCCACAGGGTATTACAATTTGGGGGCTCGTGCCAGGATCTAGTTTGAGTGACAGTTACAGTTGTGAAGTTAAAAAGTTATTTTGTGACAGTGTAGTGCAATAAAATGGCAGATAACGAAGTAGCCAACGAAGTAGTGGGTTTGACCGACGAAGAAGTCGCCCAGATGACCATACCAGAGCTGAAAGTTGAGCTCAGAGGAAGACGCCTCAGGTTATCAGGGAGAAAGCGCGAACTTGTTGAACGGTTATTGGCAGCGGTACGATTAGAACGGGAGCACGGCGCACTAGACGACGAAGAAGAAAACGACGACAACAACGACGAAGAAGAAGACGAAGAAGAGGAGGAAGAAGAGGAGCTACTCACAGGAGTCCCGGAAGACGCCAGGGCTGGCCAGGTGGTTACTCCTCAAAACCCTCAAAACAACGACGAAAACGACGAAGACCGTGAAACTCAAATTCGAAGACCCGCGCTGAACAGACCCCGACGTACGTTATTGCTCTTAAAAGACGTCGAGAACTCACTAGAAAAGTTCAGTGGGGATGACTTGCTGAATGTCTCCCGCTGGATTGAAGATTTTGAAGAGTTAGCAGAAGTATGTGGCTGGACCGACGTACACAAAGTCGCGTTCGGGAAGAAGATGTTAACGGGTTCAGCGTTAGCTTTTGTACGCCAGGAAAGATGCGCTAAGACGTGGGCAAAACTTAAAAAAGCTCTGAAAGACGAGTTTGAAGACGAAGTAACCGACCAGCAGATCCATCGAGAGCTGGCACAAAGGAAGAAGAAGACCGACGAGACCTTGCAACAATATATGTACGCAATGCGTGAAATTGCGGGGCAAGGAACAGTGGATACACGATCTTTAATTGAATATATTATTCAAGGTATTCCTGATGAGGTCACCAACAAAAGTGCACTGTATGGTGCTAACACGCTGCAGCAATTAAAGGACCGCTTCAAACAGTACGAAGCGATGAAAAGAGACATGAAGACGAAGCCGAAGCCCGTGGAGAAGAAAGACGATAAGACGAGGAAGCCTGATGCAAGAGGTCATCCGAAGAAGCGGGCAGCTGGTGAAAAGGGTGATAAACTTAGGTGTTTTAATTGTGGGTGTGAAGATCACGTGAGTGCAGAGTGTCCTGATAAGGAAAAAGGTGCAAAGTGTTTCAATTGTAACGAGTTTGGGCACATCGCGGCGCGGTGCCCAGACAAGAAAAATAAGGCATATGTAATTTCAAGACCCGACATGAAGAAATACACCAAGGAAGTGTCAATAGATGACTCTAAGTTTGTAGCTTTAGTGGATACAGGTAGTGATTTAACGTTTATCAGGTCAGATGAGTATGTAAGATTAGGGTCACCACCGTTAGGTAATCGCAGAATCGAGTTTGCAGGTGTTGGATCCACTGGCAATGAAACTTGGGGTGAGTTTTCAAAGATAATAAATATTGATGGGCAAAATTTGCCGATAACGTTGCATGTAGTATCTAGTAAAGTGTTGACGAACCATGGTTTATTGTTGGGTACTGACTTTTTGGACCAAGTAGAGGTTAGAGTCAAACGAGGGGAGGTTACATTTTTGAAGTTAGATGAAATTGAGTTTGACGCAAATGCACCCGATATTTATAGAATTAATCTCATACATAAGACCAAGGAGTTGGACTTATCGCATATCGAAGATTTGCCTTATCGAGAAGCCGTGCGGGATATTATTAACGGGTATAAGCCAGAGAAGACGCGAGAGGTTGATTTGACGGCTAAGATTGTTTTAAAAAGCGAGAAGCCGATCGTTAGACGGCCGCGAAGGTTGGCTCCTTGCGAAAAGAAAGAAGTAGATGATTTAATGAAGACGTGGATCGATGAGGGGGTAATAAGACCGTCTAATTCGGAATACGCGAGTCCTATAGTAGTGGTGAGAAAAAAAGATGGCTCCATCAGAGTGTGCGTTGATTTTCGCGAATTAAATGACGTCATTGAGTGTCCACATTTTCCATTGCCGTTGATTGACGATATTTTGGACGCTTTACAAGGGTTCATGTATTTTACAACGATAGATTTAAGAAACGGGTTTTTCCACGTGAGAATGCATGAAGACAGTTGTAAATATACATCTTTTGTCACGCCGACGGGACAATATGAATTTTTAAAATTACCATTTGGCTTAAAGATTTCCCCGATGGTATTTCAAAAATATATTACTTTAATTTTTAAGGGCCTTATAGAAATGGGTATTCTCATAGTTTATATGGACGATATTATTATTCTAGCTAAAGATTTGAAGGAGGCATGGGAACGTTTACTTATGGTAATAGAAAGAGCAGAACAATATGGGTTGGTAATAAACTGGGAAAAATGTCGTTTTCTGATGAAAGAAATTGAGTATTTAGGGTATGTTGTTTCGAAAAACACCATAAAACCGTCCACTCATAAAAGTAAAGCCGTTGCTAATTTTCCCAAACCAACATCTGTTAAAAAGGTTCAAAGTTTCTTAGGTCTCACGGGGTATTTTAGAAAGTTTATTAGGGGTTATTCAAAGATAGCTAAGCCATTAACCGATTTGTTAAGGAAAGATGTTTCATTTTGGGAACCATGAGAATGACGCCTACGAGGCCTTGAAGTCAGCACTTACCAATGATCCTGTGTTAAAATTATACAGAGTAGGAGCTAAGACGGAATTACACACAGATGCGTCTATTGACGGGTATGGGGCAATATTAATGCAAATTGACCCAGATGACGGGAAGTTTCATCCGGTCTATTATGCCAGTGGAAAAACGACTCCTGCAGAGTCTAAGTATACGAGTTACGAGTTAGAAGTACTAGCTATTGTAAAGGCATTAGTTAAGTTCAGAGTGTATTTGTTGCCGATACCATTTACTATTGTAACCGATTGTCAAGCATTCGCTATGACAATGAAGAAGAAAGATTTATGTTTACGTGTAGCCCGATGGGCTTTGCTTTTAAGTGATTTTAAGTATTCGGTACTTCATAGACCGGGTAAAAGTATGCAGCATGTAGATGCGTTAAGTCGAAATTCATTACCGAGCGCTATGTTTGTGAGTGAGAGTGAAGGTGGGCTGATTGCACGTTTAAGAAGTGCACAGAATAAAGACAATGATGTCCGTAAGCTTATAGATGCCGTAACGTGCAGCCAGACCGATGGGTATGTTATTAGGAATAAGATTTTGTACAAACAGTGTAAAGACGATTTGTTAATTATAGTACCTAAAGGCATGCAGACTCAGGTAGTCAGACAGGCACACGAACGTGGCCACTTTGGGGTCACAAAAACCGAAGCAATTGTCAAGCAAGACTTCTGGTTTAAGGGGCTGCGAGAAAAGGTCGAGCACGTGATAGCCAACTGTTTAGACTGCATCTTAGCTGAGAGGAAGTTGGGTAAGCAAGAAGGGTATTTAAATCCATTAGACAAAGGAGACAAGCCATTGGATACCTATCATATTGACCATGTGGGCCCAATGACCTCTACGAAGAAAAGATATGCACACATTTTTGTAGTGGTGGATGCATTTACCAAGTTCACGTGGCTTTATCCTACTAAATCTACCGATACAGCGGAAGTACTAGATAGATTAACAAAGCAAGCTGCCGTATTTGGGAATCCAAGACGAATCATCTCTGATCGAGGAACAGCGTTTACGTCTAACGCTTTCAAAGACTATTGCACCGAGGAGAATATACAGCATTCTTTAATTACGACAGGAGTTCCCAGAGGGAACGGGCAGGTAGAAAGGGTAAACCGAACCCTTATACCATTGTTAACTAAATTAACAGCACCAAATCCAGATGATTGGTACAAGCACGTGGACAAAGTGCAAAGATTTTTGAATGCCACAGCGAGCAGGAGCACTGGAAAGACGCCGTTTCAGTTGCTTGTAGGCGTAGACATGCGGATCAAGGAAGATACGCGAATTAGAGAATTGATTGAAACAGAGTGGACTACACAGTTTGAAGAAAAACGGTGTGAATTACGCGAAGAAGCTACAAAAGCAATTGCCAAGGCGAAAGAAGGCAAGTATGTACTCGGTATGGAGGTATGACGTTTGGAAGGGATGAGTGCTGAGGGTCAGTTTTGACCTACGAGTGATGGACAGTTCTCGAAGAGCATTTGACATAGACGTTTCATTTTTTTTTGTACCACATTGCATTAATAAACTAGCAACATCATTTAACCACACTTGTTCTAACTACTAGAAGTAAGAACCTATACCCTATCACATCCACAGGGTATTACATACATATACCGAAATTAAATTAATTATTCTTACAGGATCCATTAAGGCTCCCATTTAGGGCACTGTGCGAAGGTAGCGATAGAAGTGACTCCCATTCAAGGCACCGTACAATTTAGTGCAAGAACGGCGGCTCCACGACATTGCGTTCGCCGGCTAAAACAAAAAAAACCACAAAATTAGTCGACCAATAAACACAAAAAGGGCATTTTTGTAGGTTTCACGAGGGATAAACCCACAAATTATACATGAAAATTAAAAAGAATTTAAATATCTATAATTTGGTGAAAGAACGGTTGTCCTACGACATCGCGTTCACCCGCTAAACACTAAAAACCCCAAAATTAGCCGACCGGAATATATAAAAAGGGCATTTTTGTAGGTTTCCCAAGCGATAAACCCACAATTTATACATGAAAACTATTAAGAATTTTAATATCGATAATTTGGTGAAAGAGCGGTTGTCCTACGACATCGCGTTCACCCGCTAAACGCTAAAAACCAAAAAATTCGACGACCAAAAAACACAAAAAGGGCATTTTTGTAGGTTTCCCGAGGGTAAACCCACAAATTATACATGAAAATTAAAAAGAATTTAAATATCTATAATTTGGTGAAAGAACGGTTGTCCTACGACATGGCGTTCGCCCGCTAAACACTAAAAACCAAAAAATTCGACGACCAAAAAACACAAAAAGGGTATTTTTGTAGGTTTTCCGAGGGATATACCCATAAATTATACATGAAAATTAAAAAGAATTTAAATATCTATAATTTGGTGAAAGAACGGTTGTCCTACGACATCGCGTTCACCCGCTAAATACTAAAAACCCCAAAATTAGCCGACCGGAATATATAAAAAGGGCATTTTTGTAGGTTTCCCAAGCGATAAACCCACAATTTATACATGAAAACTATTAAGAATTTAAATATCGATAATTTGGTGAAAGAACGGTTGTCCTACGACATCGCGTTCACCCGCTAAACGCTAAAAACCAAAAAATTCGACGACCAAAAAACACAAAAAGGGCATTTTTGTAGGTTTCCCAAGCGATAAACCCACAATTTATACATGAAAACTATTAAGAATTTAAATATCTATAATTTGGTGAAAGAACGGTTGTCCTACGACATGGCGTTCGCCCGCTAAACACTAAAAACCAAAAAATTCGACGACCAAAAAACACAAAAAGGGTATTTTTGTAGGTTTTCCGAGGGATAAACCCACAAATTATACATGAAAATTAAAAAGAATTTTAATACCTACAATTTGGTGAAAAAGCGGTTGTCCTATGACATTGCGTTCGCCCGCTAAACACTAAAAACCCCAAAATTAGCCGACCGACAAACATAAAAAGGGCAATTTTGTACGCTTTCCGAGGGATATACCCACAAATTATACATGAAAATTAAAAAGAATTTAAATATCTATAATTTGGTGAAAGAACGGTTGTCCTACGACATCGCGTTCACCCGCTAAACGCTAAAAACCAAAAAATTCGACGACCAAAAAACACAAAAAGGGCATTTTTGTAGGTTTCCCAAGCGATAAACCCACAATTTATACATGAAAACTATTAAGAATTTAAATATCTATAATTTGGTGAAAGAACGGTTGTCCTACGACATGGCGTTCGCCCGCTAAACACTAAAAACCAAAAAATTCGACGACCAAAAAACACAAAAAGGGTATTTTTGTAGGTTTTCCGAGGGATAAACCCACAAATTATACATGAAAATTAAAAAGAATTTTAATACCTACAATTTGGTGAAAAAGCGGTTGTCCTATGACATTGCGTTCGCCCGCTAAACACTAAAAACCCCAAAATTAGCCGACCGACAAACATAAAAAGGGCAATTTTGTACGCTTTCCGAGGGATATACCCACAAATTATACATGAAAATTAAAAAGAATTTAAATATCTATAATTTGGTGAAAGAACGGTTGTCCTACGACATCGCGTTCACCCGCTAAACACTAAAAACCCCAAAATTAGCCGACCAGAAAATATAAAAAGGGCATTTTTGTAGGTTTATCCCTTGGGAAACAAATTATACATGAAAATTAAAAAGAATTTAAATATCTATAATTTGGTCAAAGAACGGTTGTCCTACGACATGGCGTTCGCCCGCTAAATACTAAAAACCACAAAACTAGCCGACCAAAAATACCTACAATTTGGTGAAACACCTGTTGTCTTACAACATTGCAATCGCCCGCTAAATACAAAAAACCACAAAATCTGCATCTGGGAAAGTTATTCCATACTTATTGTAGCACCGCGTTCGCGTGTTATACTAAAAAAAAAAAACTACAATTCCTAGCGCAACGAGTACTAGTGCGTATACACACAACTTTCAATATAAATCGCGTTACGGAATTTTCTGGCAATAAATTTCGATACATGGAGATATAGACTTAAATTCTGCATTTAAAAAAATCATTAAATAAAAAAATATAAAATAAATATATTTCCAACAGTAAAAGGTCGAAAAACGCGACTAAAAGTGCTAAAAAGTGACATTTATCAATTTTGGTCTATTTTAATCAATCGCGAATATCTCGTAAACTAAAAGAGATAATTAAGATCCGATCGCAGCGTCTTAATCTACGGACTATTCTCTATCAGATAGGATAGTTAAAAAGGAAATCTGTGAGATGACATTTTAATTCTTAAGAAAAAAATTGCCAAGGGGGGGTGCTTGATACTTTTTTACGACGATTTTCAAAAATTCATATCTCTTAAACTAAAAGAGATAGCTACCAAAGAATTGTTGATTATGAAAGATTGGAAAATTGTCTATCAGATAAAAATATAAAATAATTATATTTCCTACAGTAAAAGGTCGAAAAACGCGACTAAACGTGCTAAAAAGTGACATTTATCAATTTTTGTCTATTTTAATCAATCGCGAATATCTCGTAAACTAAAAGAGATAATTAAGATCCGATCGCAGCGTCTTAATCTACGGACTATTCTCTATCAGATAGGATAGTTAAAAAGGAAATCTGTGAGATGACATTTTAATTCTTAAGAAAAAAATTGCCAAGGGGGTGCTTGATACTTTTTTCGACGATTTTCAAAATTCATATCTCTTAAACTAAAAGAGATAGCTACCAACGAATTGTTGATTATGAAAGATTGGAAAATTGTCTATCAGATAAAAATATAAAATAATTATATTTCCTACAGTAAAAGGTCGAAAAACGCGACTAAAAGTGCTAAAAAGTGACATTTATCAATTTTTGCCTATTTTAATCAATCGCGAATATCTCGTAAACTAAAAGAGATAATTAAGATCCGATCGCAGCGTCTTAATCTACGGACTATTCTCTATCAGATAGGATAGTTAAAAGGGAAATCTGAGAGATGAAATTTTAATTCTTAAGAAAAAAATTGCCAAGGGGGGGTGCTTGATACTTTTTTTCGACGATTTTCAAAATTCATATCTCTTAAACTAAAAGAGATAGCTACCAACGAATTGTTGATTATGAAAGATTGGAAAATTGTCTATCAGATAAAAATATAAAATAATTATATTTCCTACAGTAAAAGGTCGAAAAACGCGACTAAAAGTGCTAAAAAGTGACATTTATCAATTTTTGCCCATTTTAATCAATCGCGAATATCTCGTAAACTAAAAGAGATAATTAAGATCCGATCGCAGCGTCTTAATCTACGGACTATTCTCTATCAGATAGGATAGTTAAAAGGGAAATCTGAGAGATGAAATTTTAATTCTTAAGAAAAAATTGCCAAGGGGGTGCTTGATACTTTTTTTCGACGATTTTCAAAAATTAATATCTCTTAAACTAAAAGAGATAGCTACCAACGAATTGTTGATTATGAAAGATTGGAAAATTGTCTATCAGATAAAAATATAAAATAATTATATTTCCTACAGTAAAAGGTCGAAAAACGCGACTAAAAGTGCTAAAAAGTGACATTTATCAATTTTTGCCCATTTTAATCAATCGCGAATATCTCGTAAACTAAAAGAGATAATTAAGATCCGATCGCAGCGTCTTAATCTACGGACTATTCTCTATCAGATAGGATAGTTAAAAGGGAAATCTGAGAGATGAAATTTTAATTCTTAAGAAAAAAATTGCCAAGGGGGGGTGCTTGATACTTTTTTTCGACGATTTTCAAAAATTAATATCTCTTAAACTAAAAGAGATAGCTACCAACGAATTGTTGATTATGAAAGATTGGAAAATTGTCTATCAGATAAAAATATAAAATAATTATATTTCCTACAGTAAAAGGTCGAAAAACGCGACTAAAAGTGCTAAAAAGTGACATTTATCAATTTTTGCCCATTTTAATCAATCGCGAATATCTCGTAAACTAAAAGAGATAATTAAGATCCGATCGCAGCGTCTTAATCTACGGACTATTCTCTATCAGATAGGATAGTTAAAAGGGAAATCTGAGAGATGAAATTTTAATTCTTAAGAAAAAAATTGCCAAGGGGGGGTGCTTGATACTTTTTTACGACGATTTTCAAAAATTCATATCTCTTAAACTAAAAGAGATAGCTACCAACGAATTGTTGATTATGAAAGATTGGAAAATTGTCTATCAGATAAAAATATAAAATAATTATATTTCCTACAGTAAAAGGTCGAAAAACGCGACTAAAAGTGCTAAAAAGTGACATTTATCAATTTTTGCCCATTTTAATCAATCGCGAATATCTCGTAAACTAAAAGAGATAATTAAGATCCGATCGCAGCGTCTTAATCTACGGACTATTCTCTATCAGATAGGATAGTTAAAAGGGAAATCTGAGAGATGAAATTTTAATTCTTAAGAAAATAATTGCCAAGGGGTGCTTGATACTTTTTTCGACGATTTTCAAAATTCATATCTCTTAAACTAAAAGAGATAGCTACCAACGAATTGTTGATTATGAAAGATTGGAAAATTGTCTATCAGATAAAAATATAAAATAATTATATTTCCTACAGTAAAAGGTCGAAAAACGCGACTAAAAGTGCTAAAAAGTGACATTTATCAATTTTTGCCCATTTTAATCAATCGCGAATATCTCGTAAACTAAAAGAGATAATTAAGATCCGATCGCAGCGTCTTAATCTACGGACTATTCTCTATCAGATAGGATAGTTAAAAGGGAAATCTGAGAGATGAAATTTTAATTCTTAAGAAAAAATTGCCAAGGGGGGGTGCTTGATACTTTTTTACGACGATTTTCAAAAATTCACATCTCTTAAACTAAAAGAGATAGCTACCAACGAATTGTTGATTATGAAAGATTGGAAAATTGTCAATCAGATAAAAATATAAAATAATTATATTTCCTACAGTAAAAGGTCGAAAAACGCCAGTAAATGTGCTAAAAAGTGACATTTTTCATTTTTTGCCCATTTTAATCAAATGCGAATATCTTGTAAACTAAAAGAGATAAATAAGATCTGATCGCAGCGTCTAAATCTACGGACTATTCTTTATAAGATAGGCTAGTTATAGCGCAAATCTGGGAGATAAAATTTTTCTTCTTAAGAAAAAATTGCCAAGGGGGGTGCTTGATGCTTTTTTTCGACGATTTTTGATAATTCATATCTCTGAAACTAAACGAGATAGCAACTAAGAAATTGCTGATTATGAAAGATTGGGAAATTCTCTATCAGATAAAAATATAAAATAATTATATTTCCAACAGTAAATGGTCAAAAATCGCCACCAAAAGTACTAAAAAGTGACATTTATCAATTTTTGCACATTTTATTCAATCGCGAATATCTTGTAAACTAATACAGATAAATAAGATCTGATCCCAGCGTCTTAATCTACGGACTATTCTCTATAAGATAGGATTGTTAAGTTGGAAACCTGGGAAATAAAATATTAATTCATAAGAAAAAATGGGAGTCAGTTATACATTCATCCATGTAAGGTGACACAAGTCACTTCTATCGACACCCTGCTACGGTAAATCGAATAAAACTCAACTACACAATTGCGATTAATTGCAATATAACTCAATAAACAAGGAATAATCAACGTTCTTGACATATTCGAGTCGATAAACGATAATAGTGCATAACTTTTAAACTAAAAGCGATAGCGACCAACGGATGAAAGCTATAAAAGATTTGTAAATTCTGCATTAGATAAGAATTTAAAATAATTTAATCTCGTGGAATAAAAGGACCAGAAACGTGACAAAAAGTGCAATTTTTTTTGCCCTTTTTTGAATGGCGAATATCTCCTAATTATGTCCGACCGTACCGGTCGTCTAAATTGTGTCACAGGTAGGTAGTACGTGATAAAGAATTAAATTCCGCATCTGGGAAAATTATTCCGAGCTCAGTTTAAGGCCGAGTTCGCGTGTTATAATAAAACAAACTACAATTCCTAGCGCAACGAGTACTATTGCGTATATGCGTATACACACAACTATCATCATAGCTCGCGTTACGGAATTTTCTCGCAATAAATTTCAATGCAGGTAGGTAGTACGTGATAAATAGAAAACTTGTTTATAAACAGCAAATGCATATTTGACCAAAAAATATAATTGAATTATAAACTTACCAGTGTACAGCTTATCGGACTGCCAGGCACAACGAGTGCTGTAACTAAACGAAAACATAAATTAAACCAAAATAATTCATACAATTGAAATATGTTATAATTAACAATCAACACAAAACAAACAATTTTTGCTGTTTAGTTAAAAAAATACATACACGAGCCTGATGAATCTTTCTTAGTGATGAGAATCGACATGGTGGTGATATATATAGGTATATATACGATTAATTTAGTAACTGACACCAAACACAACGCCGAGTGAAGAATGTTATCACCACTATCACGTGACTTGTAATATACATAACAAACGCGATCAAAAACCGGCATGTCCGAACATTAAGCAAATTACTATAGTCGCAAAGTACAAATAAATAGTCGATTGATCTTCGTATATAACAGGAATAAACGATATAAGTCTCTCAAAACACAACCGAAATAACCAGCGACCGGCACGAAACTGGCTGCAATCCACCGATAGTGCATGCCAAAACTGCGTATACAACGACGGGACGTATATGATAAGAAAGCAAGAGGTGCGCAAAAGCGGCGCGTCGACGGCACGCGACCTTGCGCGCGAATTTGCAATATGCACATTACCTGTGATCTAAACTAAACTAGATTTTGCTGCATGCAGCAAGTTGATGCGGCGCTAGGAGACAGCGCGCGGTACACATGCGATAAGAAAACTATTCTCGTGGCCACGTTTGTCGATAAATATAAAAATAAGCCGTATAACTCGATTTTACGATTTTTAGTGCAACCTAGTGCCATCTATGAATGCGACAGATACTAGTCCCACAATTTAAACTATTATAATCAATAATTAATGTTTCCACTTAGTTCATATTGTCAATTAACATGTAGAGCGTCTCTTAAACTATAACATGGCCTTTAGAAACTCACAAAATGTGAATTAGGTCTATTGCGAATATCTCGTAAACTAAAGGAGATAGAAAAAAATCGCAGAGTCTTAATCTACGGAAAATTTTCTATAAAATAAGCTGCTTAAATTAGAAATTTAAGAAATGAAATTTTAATTCATAAGAAAAAATGGCCAAACTAAAAGAGATAGCAACCAGAAAATTATAGATTATAAAATACTGAAAAATGCTCTATCAAGTAGAAATTTAAAATAATTTAGTTGAACGCATTTTTATTTGTTAAATAGAATATCTTCAGACAACGGCAGTTGCTATTGGATTTTGTTTTAAACTGAACAAGAAATCAATTTTTTATACGAAGGTACGCAGAGACTCATTTACTATCATATGACAATGAGATAGTCAAAATTCTTCTTTCGAAAATTGGCAAAAACAACCATTTTTAATTGGCATTTCAGGGTACTTCCTAAAAGATTAAAATTTCGGAAAGATACACAGCTTTTACGCATGTGATAACGGATTGCTGATGATTGCATTTCTGCCATGCATTTGTGTTAATGCATTAATAGCAATATTTGGTTACGCTTATGAATGAATTTGATTAAAACATACTTTTGGGTGAACGATTACAATTAATTTGCATTCAAAATTATCAATCAATTTGCAGATCAGCAACAATTAACGAGCAAAAATCAACATGCGATGCGCTTATCTGTGGAAACTGCTGATGTCCGTTGTGCAAATAATTTTGGTATAAAAGCTGAGAGCAAAGCACGGAATGGCACACTTCTGAGTTCATCAGAACGAGTCCAAGATGTGGTCCCAACTTCTCTTGTGCTGTCTTAGTAAGTATATTTCTCCTGTTTGTTAGAATAATTTTTTAACTGAATACGTCTATTTCCGAATAGTCGGCTTCGCCGCTGCCTCCCAAAATGGCTGGCAAAGCAATATGGAATACGAATACAAAGTGCAGGGTCGCACTTTCACTGCCCTGCCCGACATCGCCAACCAGTACGCCGGTATTGCGATGAAGGCCAAGCTCATCGTTCGCCCCGAAGGCGACGAGGTCCTCATGGCCAAGATCGCTAACGCCCAGTACGCCCAAGTTCACGCCAACCTTCCTGAAGGCTGGAAGAGCGACATCCCCGAGAGGCATCTGCAATACAAGCAGTTGCAACTCAGCGAGAAGCCTTTCCAGATCCTCCTCAAGAACGGCGTTGTTCGCGATGTCATCGTTGACCGTGACGTGCACAACTGGGAAGCCAACATCATCAAGGCCATCGTCAGCCAGGTTCAGCTCGACACCCAGGGTGAGAACGTGATCAAGGCTCACCTCAACCAGCTGCCCGAGGGTGATGACAACTCCGCCGTCTTCAAGACCATGGAGGACACCGTCACCGGCACCTACGAGACCCTTTATGACATCACCCCTCTGCCCGAGTATGTTCTGCAATCTCAACCCGAGCTTGTGCCCATGCCCGAACTCAAGAAGAACGGCGAGGTCATCGAGATCATTAAGACCAAGAACTTCAGCCGCTCCGAGGAGAACCTCGGCTACTACTACGGTCTGGGCGGTATGGGTCAGTTCGAGCCCAACACCAACCAGATGGGAGATTTCTTCCTCCGCTCCGCCATGTCCCGTGTGATCGTTACCGGTTCTCTCAAGCGTTTTACCATCCAGTCTGCTTCTACCACCAACAAGATCATCATTGCCCCCACCCTCAACTCTGAGCAGAAGGGTATGGTTGTTTCTCACTTGAATCTGACCCTCCGCGCCATGCAGCCCGCTTCCGGCAGCTTCGAGCAGCCTCAGCAGGGCCAGAAGCTCGGTTCTCTGACCTACACTTTCAACACCCCCTTCTCTGGCAACCACGAAGCCCGCCAGGGTGCCAAGCGCAGCCAGCAGGAGTACATGTACTCTTCTGAGGAAGATGACCAGCAGTACCGTCGCCAGCAGCACCGCCACCCCCGCTCTGTCCAGCAGTCCGAGGAATCCGTCGAGTCCCAAGAGCAGTGGGCTCAGGAGGAGGCTAAACTTAACCAGCCCCTCAGTCCCTCTTCTTCCCTCTACATTGGTTACAAGGGCAAATCCATCAAGTCCGCTGACAAGATCAACGTTGTCGAGGCCGCCCACAAGCTCGCCCAGAAGATTGCCAAGGAGATCCAGCATCCCCAGGAAATCCAGAAGGAACAGACCCTTGCTTCCTACGTTATTCTTTCTTCCGTTGCCAAGATCATGAACGAGAAGGAGATGCAGCAGGTTACCGACAAACTGTACACCAAGGAACAGCGTGGCCAGCAGGCTGAAGCCTGGTACGCCTACCGCGACGCCATCGCCGAGGCCGGCACCGGTCCCGCTCTTCTCACCGTCCAGCAGTGGATTGACTCCAAGAAGATCCAGCACGAGGAAGCCGCTGAGGTCGTCGCTGTTATGGCTGATTCTGTCCGCCAGCCCACCGACAAGTACATCCGCGCTTTCTACCAGCTTGCCATCAAGAACGAGCAGGTTCAGCGCCAACACATCCTCAATGACACCGCCATCCTTTCCTTCACCCGTTTGGTCCGCAAGGTTATTGTCGACAAGTTGGTTGCCCACAACCAATACCCCGTCCACTCTTTCGGCTCTTTCCGCACCCAGGAAGGCCAGCAGTTTGTTGCCCAAGAACTGATCCCCCATCTTAAGGATCAGCTTCACCAGGCCGTCAAGGAGGCTGACTCCCACAAGGTTCTCGTTTACATCCGCGCTCTCGGCAACGTCGCTCACAAGGAGATCCTCGCTGTCTTCGAACCCTACCTTGAGGGTGAGAAGCAATGCTCTCAGTTCCAGCGCATGCAGATGGTGCTCGCTCTTGACAAACTTGTCAAGACCCACCCCAAGGTCGCTCGCTCCGTCTTGTACAAGATCTACCAGAACGCTGGTGAGGAACAGTACGTTCGTGTCGCCGCTGTCTACCAGCTGATGCGCACCGCTCCCCCCGCGTCCATGCTTCAACGCATGGCTGAGTACACCAACATCGACACTGACGAGCAGGTCAACGCTGCCGTCAAGGCCACCATTGAGACCGCTGCCCAGCTTGAAGGTGCTGAGTTTGAGGAGCTCGCCTCCAACGCTCGCGCCGCCCAGCCCCTGCTCACCAAGAACACCTATGGCATCCAGTACAGCCAGAACTTCCTCCGCTCCTTCGTCGCCAAAGAGATGAACCTCTTCTACAAGCAGACCGCTCAGATCTACGGCAGCCACGACTCTGTCATGCCCAAGGGCTTCAAATACGCTCTTCGCGCCGGTCTTGGTGGCGCCCGCCGCCAGCTCATCAACGTCCAAGGCATGGTCTCTTCCGTTGAGGAGCTCACCAACGTCTTCCAGCGTCAGTCCCACCAATACCAGAAGCACCAGGAGCAGCAGCAGCAAGGCTTCCAGCAGGCTAAGCAGCAGAAGTGGTCCGCTGAGTACATCGCCGAGAAACTGAACATCAAGAACCCCGAGCGCGAGCAACTGGAGGCTGACCTCCTGGTCCAGCTTGCCGGTGGCGTCACCCGCTACTTCGCCATCAACAACCAGACCATTGAGATGTTGCCCCAGCTTCTCCGCCAGGTCGAGGACATGCTCCGCGAAGGCGAGGACTTCCACTACACCAAGTACATTAACCGCAACGACGTTGCCATCAGCTTCCCCACTGAAATGGCTCTGCCCTTCGTTTACACTCTTGACGCTCCTACCCTTCTGCACTTCCAGGGCAAGATCCGCGCCACCGCCGAGCCCAAGATGTCCAACGGACAAGCTATCCGCATGCCCGAGACCATCACCGCTCACGCCGAAATCCGCGCTCTTGTGTCCGCTCGTCTTCAGGCTAAGATCGGCTTTGTCACTCCCTTCGACCACCAGCAATACATTGCCGGTTACGACAAGAATGTGCAGATCAACCTGCCCATCAAGTCCCAGTACGAAATCGATCTGAAGACTCAGCAGGTTCAGGCTCAGTTCCAGCCCATTGAGCAAGACAAGAACGTCCAGGTGTTCCACTACAGCTCCTGGCCTTACACCGCTAAGCACGACATCCTCTCTCTGGAACCTGTCGCCCAGGGCCCTCACACCAAGATCATCTACGCCGAGCAGCAGCCCCAGAGCCAGTTCAACCAGCTCGTCGGTAAGCAGACCGGTATGGCTTTCCGCGTCCAGTACATCTCCGAGCAGAAGTTCGCTGACTCCATGTGGGCCTACGAACAGCTCCAGCGCCATAACGGCGATGCTATCGCTTTCCTCCTTGCTCCCCTCTACGACGAAACTATCCAGCACACCAAGGCTGAAGTAACCTACGATGCCCAGGAATCCTCCGCCCGCAAGGTGCAGATGCGTCTTGGCTACGAATCCGAGTACCAGCAAGAGCAGGGTCACGGTAACGCTGAGGTTTCTCAGTTCGCTCAGCTGCCCCGCGAGTCCAAGGCTCGTCAGCAGCAGTTCGCCAAGATTGCCTCCGCCGGCATCGCTTCCTCCACCGCTCGCGTCGTTGACCTGTCTGTCGAGTTTGACGGTCACAACAAGGCTGAATACGTTGCCACCGCTGCCATCGCTTCTTCTCCCGTCGACGAGAAGGCCCGTGCCCTCTTCTACTACAAGAAGCACGCCGCCCAGCAGTCTTACGAAGTTGCTTTCTCCGCCAAGGCTCACATCCCCAACACCAACGGTCTTGACTACCAGTACGCCCTCCAGTTCGACCCTACCACCACCGCCCAGGCTGAGCTTGCCTTCGGTCAAGACCTCCAGTCTGCCACTAAGGTTCAGCTTCACGCTAAGCTCCAAAAGAGCGAAACCCGCAAGCAGTACCTTAAGAACTCCGAGCGCGCCCAGGAGTGCCACGAAGAGATGAAGCAGGGCAACAAGCAGCTGCCCGCCTGCGCCAACATGACCGCCGAGGCCAACCTTCTTGACCGCGTCAACGTGCACGTGCAAGTTGAGCATCTCTCCGCCAAGGCCCGCAACGCCACCCAGAAGATCTACAACGCTCTTCGCGCTTACGGCTACTACAACCTTGACGAGAACACTGTTGATCCCCAGACCAACGAGAAGGACAACCAAATGACCATCCAGGCCCGTTTCGAGCCCGACTTTGAGGCTGTCAACGTAACTATCCGCACCCACAAGATGGAGTCTCACTTTGACCAAATCCGCGTCAACCAGTGGGCTAAGCAAGTCTTTGGATTCCACCCCGTTTTCCGCATGACCGACCGCGTGATGTCTGAGGCTCTTGAGCTCGACACCTACCGTCCCATCTGCGTCGTTGACCAGACCGCCGCCAACACCTTCGACAACAAGACCTACCGCGCCGACCTCGGCAATGCCTGGACCGTGATGATGCAGTACGTTCCCCAGTTCGCTCGCGCCAGCCGCCACCAGGAACGTTACTCCCAGCAGCAGGAGGAGCAGCAACTCGAACAGTACTCCGTTCTTGTTCGCGATGCCTCCAACGGCCAGCAGAAGGAAGTTAAGATGACCATCCGCACCCCTCACACCGAGGGCCAGACCATCGAGATTGACCTTAAGCCCCAGGGTCAGTGCGGTGACAACAAGCAATGCGCCAAGGTCGTTTACAACGGCCAGGAGATCCAGTACGACGACAAGAAGGTTCGCGACATCATGCACGGCCTTGTCAAGGTCTACGCTCTTCCCGACGGTGACGTCAAGATTGAGGTCCGTCAGGCCTACTACATCATCTATGATGGCGAGCGCGTCAAGCTCACCGCCACCCACGACAAGCTCCGCGGCTCCGTCCGTGGTCTCTGCGGTACCTACACCGGCGAATACGCCACCGACTTCCTTGCCCCCGAATACTGCATCTACGAGAACGAGGATGCCTTCGTCGCCGCCTACCAGGTTGAGCAGGCCGAGGGTCGCCAAGGTCGCTACAACTACAAGCAGCAGGGCAAGCAAAGCCAAACTGAGTGCGTCAAGCCCGAGATCCAGTACGCCAATGTCATCTCCGAGCAGGATGCCGGTCGCGCCCACCAGCAATACCACAGCCGCCAGCAGCAGCAGTGGCAACAACATCACGGCAAGAACGCCCACGCCCGTGGCCAGAACGGTGATGGTCAGGAGTGCCTTACCCACCAGACTCAGTACAAGGTGATCGAGAGCGACGATGAAATCTGCTTCACCATCCGCCCCCAGCCTGTGTGCCGCAAGCACTGCAACGTCGAGCGCATGTCCACCAAGAAGGTGCCCGTGCACTGCGTCGCCAAGTCTTCCGTCTCCAAGCTGTGGAAACAGCAGATCGAGAACGGCGCCAGCCCCGACTTCTCCCACAAGTCCGTCTCCAAGGACATTTCCATGGAGATCCAGACCTCTTGCACCCGCTATTAAACCTTTAGATGGGTGAGGGGAGAAACTTCTCAAAACCACCACCTTGAATTCTAGAACTCTTTAAATTACAAGCATCCCAAAAATGTAAAAAAAATAAAGCAATTAAAAAAATACTCTTTGAATTTGTGCCTCTATACAACCCATCTAAAATTTGCAAAAAAACACTTTTAATACATTAGTAATACAGAAAAAACTTGATCGTCCTGGTTGTACACACACATGCTGGTACATTATTTGATCATCACCCTGAACTACAATTATACTGGCATGACCAAGCAGCACTGGGCCAGTTAGTAACCGATATAATAACGATAAAATAATCTATGAGATAATTATGGAATCCATTTCTTAAATTTTTAAATATTTTACAAATTATGTACATAAATAACTCGTTTTTACTTTCTATAAACTTTTCCTGAGAATTTAACAATTGTATCACGTATTAATTATTTAAAAGAAACATCGTTTTCACCTGATATTTTATAATACAAATTACATTCTTCATGCATAAAATCGCTTAACAATTCAATCGTTTCGAATTGCAATATAGTAATTTGGCACACGCTGTAGGCAGGTATACGAGGAATTTTTATTATACACTGCATCTACCTCAACTTAAACGTATAATTTTGTTAGGAAATATAATAACATGAATTTCGATAAAAAGCTGTTACCCATTTTTAAATGGCATATAAATTCATCAGTCAATTCCATTTCCTGTTAGTATAATTTTCGCATTTCTGCAAACAAAAAACAAAGAAAATCCGCAATGAGAACCGCCGATTCATCTCATATTTTAGATGTGGTAGACTATCTAAAAAAAGTACTAACATTTTCGGGAACATGGCCAGTACGCAAGCCTTCCTGGTCTCACAGAATGAGAAAAACAATTAGTTGGATCTTTGACATATCAATTCAAATTTTCTTATTCGCGGAAGCGTATAAGAACTTTACACACCGCGAATACAAAGAATTGACCGAAATGTTGTCCATTATGCTATCATTTAACTCTTGGCTTATTAAACGCACGATATTTGAGCTTAATTATGGTGCTCTTCTAAGCCTTCTTGAAAAACTTGATGATCCCGTCCTACACGACTTTCCTAAACATTGCGACGGTTACATTAAAAGAGCAAACAGATTAACAATGATATGCGCAGTATCATTTCAATTCTTTGCTGCTAACATGATACCATTCTCGTTATTCAAACCAATTTTTAACGCAGGGTTAGCTATGCACTTCTCTGTTGTGGAATTAGGCCACTGGTATTACCCGGTTCACATTTATGAGTGTCTTGCAATGGCAAACACCTGCTACAATAACAGCACCATGGACTGTCTTTCAATGGCTTTAGTCTCCGTTGGTAGTACACAATTGGAAATACTAAAAGATAAAATAACGTATAGCAGACAATGGGCTGGTCTTACAACAGAAGAAATTGATAGTGGTATTGTTAATACAGGTCCTGACATGGATCCAATACTTGATGGCATAATTCTTGAGCATTTAAATAATTGCGTGAAACATCATTTAAAAATTTTAGAGTAAGTAATATATCAAAATCTATTAATTATTAGAATTATATTATACCGAATTATGCCTTTATTACAGTTTATTGGATAATATTGAGAAAATATTAACATATCTTATATTATCACAGTTTTTTACAAGTGTATTAGCATTTTGCAATACTTGGTTTCAATTAGCGGTGAGTATGATGTTTTGTGGAATAAATACATAATTGAAATTTATTTATTTCAGTTAGAAGATCAACTTGTTAAAATTTTGTTCTTGGTAACGTACGCAACTGCTTTGCTTATACAGTTGGGGTTGTATTGTTTATTTGGTGACCGAGTTATTGAAAAGGTACATTCCTAGTTGCAGTTTACATTAAAATCTTGATCAAATGCTTTATCAATTTAATATTTAAATATTTTTCAGAGTCAGGAACTTTGTGAAGCGTGCTACTTTGCAGACTGGTATAAATCAAACAAGGCCGTGAATAAAACGTTAATGTTAATTATGGAAAGGGCAAAACGTCCCTCCGTTATAACTGCTGGAAAGTTATCCGTTTGCAGTCTAGTAACATATACTGGAGTAAGTACTCACATTCATTCCCTTGATTGAGGTTTTAATAGTGAAATGTATGTTATTAATTTGTTTTAGCTGATGAGAATGTCATATTCATATTTTGCGTTGATGAATCGATTGTATGGTTCAACATAAATTAATAGATTAGAACCAAGGTCAATAGTTCATAGTGAACATACACTGCTTGCAAACAAATTATCAGTCAGCAAATTATAGGCTTTATTATACATTTTGATTATATTGAAAAGTTATAAAAAACATGATTAAAACCGCCATAGACAAACGAACAAACTCTCCATACCATCATAAATCCACAAATGCGCATAAATTTCTGTGGATTAGGAAAGTTTAGATGGATCTGGAGTATAATCCCATTCATACACAAATTTATAATCAAATCTTTTGTTTCCTAAATGATGAATGCAATCCTCAAGCCGTTTTTGAACCTTCACAATATCAAAGTATGGTGGTACCAAATACTTGTACTGTTTGTCAAGAATATTACCGCACATCTTCATGGCGTCTTCGAAATGACCGGCCCCAAAAACATCATTGGCTTTTAATAAGTTCGGCGCTAAGTTCTATAAACATGAATAAGTTAATTATATTTTTACTTCATACATAGAATAATTACCATTAATTTAGTAAGTATTGACAAAGAAACATCTGTGTTTTTGCACTTAGGACATAGCCAGGAGTTCTCCTTCTCGGGTGAGCAATGAATAACTCCACCACACTCACACAACAGCGGGACTACCTCTTGACTCATTTGACTGGCAAGTGGCCAATTTTCTTCGCATGCTTGACACTTGCATGTAAAATGACAGGTAGATAACAGCGCATCGATTCGTTCTTGCCTCGTATTGTCCCAATACAAGACGCATCCATAAGTGTCATAAACAATGTCCCCTGCCTTAATCGGTTTAATACTGCGTAGAACCAGAGTGTCCTTAATGTAATACCTATTTAACAAAGCAGGTTTTAACAAAAATCATTCCCAAAGCAGCAAATTACTTACCTTGTAACAGATGGGTCACAAGAATGATTGAACAATGTCAACGTTGGGTACAAAGCGGTTCCAATTCCATGCGCCATTTTGATATGCGGTAATTCAAACATGATATGTAGATTGTAACGGAACATGTGCATATATTTGTACATTAATTCACCCACAGCCACCTCCTTCTTGGTTAAATGACTATCCGCTGGTTTGTAACCGAAGTACTCTTTGATTCTCAATATCTTCAGCAAGAACACTGCGTAAAATGTCATTTCCAAAAGCACTGCAACTCCTTGCAAGTTTTCATGACGCTCCAGACGACTGACATTGTAATAATCTTCGGTTTTGTAAACATCCACCTCGCGGTCCACGCTGGCATACGCTTTATCTTTCAAAACTTGCGCCCGGGGACGTTGAGTGATCATCCGCAGCGCCATCAGCGGTACACACTCGGGAGTTTCGGAATCAAATAAAGGTGTAATACCGCATTCGTATTGATGGTGGACTCTTGCGTTCTCTAAACAAGGAATGCTGCAGTACACTGCATGACACTTGGCGCAAACGTGAATCTGATCAGTAGATATAGCGCAGTTCTCGCAATTATCTTTGCGTGTCACCACAGACACGTACGGCTGCTCCATGGCGACAATTTCTCCCGTCTTGATGTCTTCGGTAGCTACCACGTGTCGGCCCATAACATCATCCTTTTTCACAGTAAGTTTACTTGACAACGCAGGATACTGTGGGTTCCCTGAAGACCAGGAGGATTCCTCGCGCGTGGGCGATTTAACGGTACCGTCTTCATTTAAACGGATTAATTTTGAACCAACGGATCTACGTAGGGCTTGCAGGGCTTTTCTGCCACGTGTACTGATTTTTTCTGGATTAGGATGGTGGCCATATTGTTTAATGAAGGCGACATCTTGTAAGACTTTTTTGTACTCGCAGTCATCAAGGAAGACCGCACAACGATTTGCGACAAGAACTGCGTAAAGTTGTTTACCTTCCGCTGGAAACAAATTCATAGACTGAATTCACGATAATAATTTATTGCAACAATTAAATACATACAATAAATAAATAAGTGACTTACGTTTGTCCTGTGGGCATACCTTAAGTGCCTCGTTGTACACAGTCACAGCTTGTGCATTACTGTGTTGCTTTAAGAATAAATCGTTACCCCGCACTTTGAGGGCTTCCGCGCGTTCCATAGATTTAAATTCCGTTGTAAACAAATCTATTTTAACCTCTTCACAAAATGCAAACACGTGTCTGATTCTCACCGGCGTGTCCGCAAACTTGGAACAAAATTTCACGACATCTTCTCGAAGTTTATCAAGGACTGCATTATAATAGCGTTTAACGATGCATGGCGCCGGATCACTCATTTCGTAAATGAAATTGTGCTCTTTTGTGATGCAGAATCAACGTGGCGTATGAGCGCAAAACCCGTAGTATTATTACAGTTCTTTTGTTAAGACGACGGCTCGGCGCACTGCGATCTCACGAAGTTGTTTGCAAATGGGGCCAACTCGCGGAACGCCGAAATCTCCTTGACCCCTTCTTAAAAATTACTATCGTACTTACTCTTATTCTTCCCAACTTGTAGTTGGTACAGGAACAAGAAAAACAGCATATATTGATTATTGTTTTCGGATCACCTGAAAATATCAACTAATAAATATTTATTAATTAGATGGCATTATAGTTTTATCTTACAAGCCACTTTTTTCTTTTGATTAGTTTTAACACTTGTGGAATATGTAAACTAATTGGCATTCCGGTCGCAACTAAAATATAATTACAAGATTGTGATTATTAAATGGGTGATATGAAAATGGGTAACAAATGTCACAAATGAATTAAACGATTAATGCGATAAAAGTATTGGAGTATGTACAAAAACTGTGGATGCAAAACAATAAAATGTTAGCAGAGCATGGTTTCGATCCACGGACCTCTGGGTTATGGGCCCAGCACGCTTCCACTGCGCCACTCTGCTATGGACTTCCAAAGATTTGTTTGCAAAGTGTGTTTTTATTACTCAAATAAAAAATAAAATCAAATATCAAATAAAAGTTATTCTAAAATAAAATGCAACACAAAGCAGCATTTCACACTACCATATTCTAAAAAAACATTTCAAATATTTTAAAATGACGGAATAGTAACTATAAAATAAAGTTGACACCGCAAAAATTGTATTTTTTGCGAGTTTACTCAAAAAACGGGTAAAACTTATATGTTAGAAAAACAAAAAATCTAAATTTTAATTTTTAACTAAACGGTATTGAAAGTGTCTGTTGCCACGCTGATCGAGACATTTTATGATCATCTCAGTACTCCTAATTATAGGTTCGCACGGGTGCGCGAAGAGTTCGTACAATGTCACAAGATTCTCCTCATACAACTTACGACAATTATCAAAATCACCCTTGAGAAAATGTTTATTTGCTTGCGCTTCCGTCGCCTCCAATTTCTAAAAATAAAATTAAAACATACAATACCATTCAATTCTTCAGATTTAAATGCTTACCATCATAATTTTGCGCACCGCGCGAAAATTTTTACGTTTGTGACACTTAGGGCAAATGGCGGACGGCCTAGAAATTTTATTATGTGCAACCAGAATCCCACCACAATCACACAAGACTAGGTAATCGTTTGGGTTCATGTCGACGTAAACTGGCCAATCTTCAACGCAAGCTTGACATTTGCATTTGAAGAAATAACTTTCGTTCATAGCTTCAATGCGTTCTTCTTTCCTCTGAGTAACGTACCACCATCCGTAGCTTACAGTGACAGGGTCTCCCGCCTTAAGAGGTTTTAAGCAACGTAGAACCGATACGTCCTTAATATTGTACCTTAAAATGCATAAACGGATTCATAGACATTTACATAACCTAATTTATAGACTAATATGATGAAGACTTACACCATTGCAGATGGATCGCAAGAATGATTAAACAATGACATTGTTAGATAAAGACCAACACCGATTCCTACAGATTTGTATATGTTAAGCGATGCATTAATCGGTCTGATTTCATCTATAGAATTCAAATTAAATTGAAGCACTTGTAGATATTTATAAAGTAATTCTCCAACGATTATTTCCTCTCGAGATAATTCGCCAGATGCTTCCGGATCAAAATACTTTGTAATGCGCAATCTTTTCAGCATAAAAGTTGCGTAAATTGTCATGAATAACATTCGATTCCTCGATTTTTCATGGCGTTCCAATCGAGTAATGTTGTAATGATCATCAGATTTATAAACACTCAAGTTTCGTTTCTTCTTTGAGTAAGTCTCTTCGAGCAAAACTTGCTGAAGAGGTCGTTGAACAATCATTCGAAATGCCAGTCGAATGTACACCTGTTTAGAAGTGCGTATATCATACATGGGTAACCAGAACATACACTCATGTTTGTGATAAGTCTCCGCCTTCTCCAAGCATTCCATACTGCAGTAAAGTTCCGAGCACTTTGGGCAAGCGTAAACCTGATTGGTAGACACTGAACAGAATGTGCAATTTGTATAGGTTGTCATTATGGTAGCGTAGGGCCTCTCCACGGCTAAAAGCTCTCCAGGATTTATATCTTCGGTTGCTACAACGTGTCGCCCCAAATCTTTGTCGCTTTTGACTGTTAACTTGCTTGATAATGCTGGATACATTAAATTTCCTGAATTCCAGTTTAACTCTTCCGAGTGATCACGTTCAACAATTGGTTCGGATTCGCTTAAAGCCAGCAGCGCATCGGCTTCTAGACGTTCGATTTTCTCCAGGTTCGGATGGTGGCCATATTGTTTAAGGAAGGCGATATCTTTTAGGGCCTTTGCGAAATGTCCAGTATTCACAAACGCCGCACAACGATTGGAGATTACAATGGCATATAGTTTTTTCCCCTCCACTAGAAGAAAAAAATGTGGAATACATAAATATACTGAATTTTGGGAACTCAAAAGTGCCAATGTTCACTTTTTACCACTTTTAAACACAATTTCAGAACCTCTACACCACAAATTTAAAATATTTTCTTGTTTTGTCCCATAGAGAAATTTCCAAACTTTCATTATCTTTGATCGACTGGTCGCTAACGGGTTTAGTTCAAAAGATATTCACTACCGAATTCGAATTTCCAATTTAACTAGCTTATTTTATACAGAATTTTCCGTAGATTTAGACTTTGCGATTCGTTCGATGTATCATACGGTGCCCTGAACCAAGTCACTTCTACCGCTAGCCTCGTACGGTGCCCAGAATCAAGTCACTTCTACCGCTACCCTCGTACGGTGCCCTGAACACGAGTCACTTCTACCGCTAATCTCGTACGGTACCCTGAATCAAGTCACTTCTACCGCTACCCTCGTACGGTGCCCAGAACCAAGTCACTTTTACCGCTACTCTGGTAAGGTACCCCGAACACGAGTCACTTCTACCGCTACCCTTGAACGCTGCCCTGAACAAGGGTCACTTCTACATTTTTTCTTACAAATTAAAATTTAATAACTTAGATTTCCAATTTAACTAGCTTAACTAGCTCTCATACAGAATTTTCCGTAAGTTAAAAATTTGAAATCCATTCTTGTCTATTTCTTTTAGTTTACGAGATATTGCCAATCGAAGAAAACTCTCATAAAATGAGAATGTCTACTTTCTAGCACAATTCAGAAACTTCTAGAACCGCCTTCTTGATATCATAAAAGCGATTATTCCCGCTAATAACTGGTGCAATACCAACAAAACGACTAAAATAACATATAGTAATTTGAGAATACTTACAAGTATCCTGGGGACACATTGATATTGCAACGTTGTATTCCTGGATTGCGCCAGAGTAGTTTTCTTCATCAAAACACGTGTTTCCATGCTCTTTCGAAACGGTTGCCTGGCCATGATGTTTTGAAATGGCCGGCGGAGGAAACAAATCAGGAACTGACTCACACAATGAGAACACGTACTTGATGCGCGACGCATTATCCGGCAAACTGAAGAAGTGCTGTTTATCAAGTGATAGTAGCTGAATAAGTTGATCACATTGATTTCGAAACTTTGAATCCGACATCTTACTACGCGATCAATCGATAAACGCACCACGCGCTCCCGGCAAATAATGACTCGGTGATTTTGCTGACTTGGAATGAAATAATCTTTCTTTGTTTCTTTTGCTCGCGGATTACTTAAAGGGAAAACAGAGGGCGTTAATCGGCAATTTTGATGACTTCGCTGAGGGTCTCGCAGGTGGCACGCACACTCTGACTCTGATAATGAATTTTAGCAAGTTTTAGGATTAAAATAAACGTTTTAATTACAAAAATAAGAGATGTAAGTAACAATTCGTTCTTATTTAATCTATTAGATTCATTGAATGTGTTTTATTCATTAGTCAATCGAATAAATCTGCTCAATCAACAAATTTCGCTGAAACAACAAAAGCGCAACTTATATCAACAATGAAAACGGTGATACCCAGAAAGGCTTTATCGGCCTTTCTCGGCATATCATCGTTGTGACCAACAGTGACCTTTGTGCCAAGCAAAAATCCCTAGAGAAGAATATATCAAATGCTTCCAAATACTTCTAATTTAAGATTGTATTATTACAGTAAAAATAACTCTTATTATCACAAAAACATTAAAAATAAAAATAATAATATAATATTTCCTTGACTGTATTTACCGTGTTTGCAACATGCTGTATGTCCCTATTTAAAAATTCCCCAGATTTCAAATGTGAGCAGTAACCTAAAACAATAAAATCCCGCGCAATGTTACTACAAACATTCTGAAGTCATTTTTCAAATGAGTTGCCAAAGACGAGCTAAATAATGAAGTCCAACTTAAGTAAGACTCTTATCTCATAATAAATTTCAATTTTAATTAATATTTATAATGATTTTAGAACAATTACTGACAATTCTCTCAAAAGAGGTGCAACTTCCCCGAAGTAGACCTTTTAATATTGTATTGGAGGGTAATATTGGCTCAGGAAAGTCAACTTTCCTGAATTATTTCCAGCACAACAAGTCAGTAAGCATTGATAGTGAACCTTTGGACTCATGGTGCAACTGTGATGGCCACAATTTATTAGCATTGCAATATGAAGATCCATCAAAATGGTCTGCCACATTACAATCATTTGTGCAGCTTACAATGTTGCAATTGCATTTAAAACCAGTGCAGCAGCCAATAAGGATGATTGAGAGAAGTATTTATAGTGCACGGTAATGTATATTCATTTTTCTACTAAAAAATGATAACATTTGCGTTTTTTTATTAAGAAAATTGAATATTTTAGTCATTGTTTCATTGAGAATATGATTCGAGAGGAAACAATGCCATCAGCATCTGCTGCCGTTTTGGACAAGTGGTTTAATTTTCTCACAGAGAATATTCCTTTAAATATAGATTTAATAGGTAATATTATCTGTTTTTAAATGTTTTATTATTTAATTGTTATATTTCTAGTTTATCTGCGCACATCACCGGAAGTAGTCTTCCAACGAATGCTGTCACGTTCTCGGGTAGAGGAAAGTAAAATTCCCTTTGATTACATACGAAAACTTCACGATCTGCACGAGGAATGGCTAACACGCAGCGAGATTTTATTACCGGCGCCGGTTTTAATAATTGATGGAAATGTCGAGAGGCATTACTTTGAGGAGGAGTTTTTGAATCATTCCAGGGAATTTAAAATTTCCAGAGAGAAAGTAAGTTCAATTGCTTAAAAGTCGAATTGAGGTGAGAATCTGAATGTATGTTGTGTAACAACGTTAAACGAAATAAACCGTAATCTGATATTTCAACATGTGACTGGTTGCCTAACTTAAACACTCGTTCAGTCATTTTGTACAACTTGTTGATCGAGATCCACTAGCGGTCGACGTCAGCTGACTTTGAACGCAATAAACTTCCTAATTTTCTATCTAAGTAAGGTAAACATATTTAGGTTACCAGGATAACTTTCGAATAATCGCAATATGTTTAATTAAAACAATACTTTCTATACCTACAAGGGCGTGGCCGCCATTTTGAAAAAGATGCGCATTCCGCAATAAAAATGCAAATAAAAAAGCTGACGACAATTAGGAAAAGAGCAAAACGAGTAAGGAAACGAGCGCATAAAATGTGTGTTGGTGCTTGTTGCATGTAATTGCAGTTCTTGGTGCCGCTGGTCGTTGGTGTGAGTTGTTGCGCGATGGATCAAGGTCGATCCATCGAACTCTCGCCGCGTGATGTCACCGCGGCTGGAAACACAAATGACATCACCACATCGACATCGGGGAAGTGCGCGGTCGCACTCAATTATTATATTGTTACGAATGCTCAGCGCAGCGCACGCAGACGCAACAAATCAACAAACGTACTAAAACGACTAAACACAACGCGCAACCGCAACACATGCACACAGGGTGTTGTGATAATCACATTGGAAGATGGCGCTTAATGCAAAATGGTTGCCGTTTACTTTATATCCATATAGTCTCTTATCAGTAGGATTGTTGTGTGTGTGTGTGTGTATGGCGGGAGTGGCTGTGGCAGTGATGAGAGGCCGAGCGGTTCGAATCGATATCATCTGACGTCAGCGGCGGGGGGCCGAGGAAGGGGGCGCGGCGCCGTGGTATCACCGCTTGCGGCGCGCGGCGTACGCTCTCGCGACAAGCCACTTGTCCGGCGCGCGCCCGCGCCACTCGGCCAGTAGTGCAATAACGTCGCACGTCTCGCGGTCGCGCACCAGCGAACAACAACCAAAACATCATTCACAAACGCAATCGGTGAAAATCCATAGCTTCAAACAACAACTTCTCGCGCAAATCCGTTAAGTGTGCTTTGCAGAGTTCGTGTTTAGCTCGGTGTGTGGCGCTAGTGTTTGTTGTTCGGTTGCCATCGTTACCGCGCACTTGTTGCTGCGGCGCTGGTATTGTTGATTGTTGTTTGTTACTTGAGCATGGTGGACAGCGGTTTCGGCGGCGACACGCGGCGCGAGCGCGTCGTCACCGTATAACGTGCTAAGTGGCCTTCGCCACCGACCACTGCGCGGGCTCTCCACAGTCGAGTTTGGTGCTGCTGGCGTGTGTGCATGTGTGTCTGTGCGCCGTGTGTGTTGACATTGAAGGTCGGTCGGCCGGCGCGCGCGTGCTCTCTCGCTCCCGCTCCGAGAAGACAACCGCAGGAGGCCAGCGGAGGTCAAGTATGTATTACAATCTTATAAATGTTACATTTTTGCTCCCTTTTTCTATTGACACGCAACACTGCACACTTTACACCCCTGAAAACACTCTGAATATCAATTTCTAACCTCAAATTAGTTTGAAAACTTTTCAAATATGGCCGCGTGTTTGTGTGAAGGATAAGTACGTGTGAGTGTATGAGTTAACGGCCATCTTGGCATCGGCAATTATCGCAATTTGCGATTTATTCAATCGTCTCACACTCGTCTGCCGGTTGACTGCGGGTTTTGTTGCAGGCCGACCGCGAAACTGGTTGCGTCGGTTTTCGTACGCAAACACGCAAAGAGCGCAAAAAAGGGACGCAAAGTGCAAGTTTGGCGTGCGCTCGCAACAACCTGCCCGGCGTCAGACATGCACGTCGACATGTCGCTGCATGCTGATGTTGTTTGTGTGTTGCTTTTGTTTTGTTGTACGCCGCCCGATAAGCCGGATCTTCTGGATCGGCGCGAGGATTGATCAGAAACACGAGTAGAACCCAACTCGTGGTGGCGGCGGGCAGGAGCGCTCTGCTTTTCTTCCCGTTCGACGCCAGATGGACGCACGGGTTTCCAAAACGGGAACAAATTTTATCCCAGAAAAACAAAACTCAAACAAAAATAAAAAATTGAAATTTGTTTTAAAAAAAGTAATGATTAGTGACATATTGCATGTATAAATTGTTAATATTAATTTATACTGTTGTTTTATTTATTTTTTGATTAATTTCTTCGATTTCCATAGTTGGTAATTTATTATTGTATTTTGAATTTGATATTTTTTTTTTGCATTGACATGCGCTTGCATAATATCGATCGAGTTGAGGCTGGTGTTGACCTCATCGGTTCGCGAGTTGACAACGCTGCGATTTGCAATTGTTCGGGCGCATGCATAAATTATTGTAATGTGGCGCTGAGCTTGTTGTGTGCACGCCGCCGCACAACATGACTACTATAGCAGCAGCAGCAACAGAGCATGGCTGACACTGACACCCGCACACTGGCTTTTTGTTTTCAAAAAGTCTGGCAATTTTTTAGATTTTTTGGTTATTTTCCTCTTATATCAATAATTGAAGAGTGTTTTTACTTGGAATTTGAAGTGGGTTCAGCGAATATTGATTTTTAAGTGTGGTAATAAAAGGAAATTGTTGCTCTTATCGATTGTGATAAGATGATATTGATAGGGATGCGCTAATATGTCAAATAAAGTGGAATTACCTTACATATTGATTCAGATTGGACTTTCACTAAAGAATTTAATTTTTTTTCTTTAGTTTAAGCTGGAAGTTAATTAATTTATGATTTTGCATTTACTATACTTTGGTAAATCACCAAAATCTTACAAAAATATGTGTTATATAATATTTTTATTAATTATTTGCGTAAACATGTTTATAATAACCTAATCTTGTTTTTCTTCTCAATTTTTAAAGATTGCTTACTTTTATACAGAGAATCAGTAAATTCTATGAGAAAATTTGTTAATTTAGTAAATTAATTAATAACAATGAAGTATTTAATCTATTGAATTGGTACTTACAACTTTTCGATAGCGAATTTTATAAAACACGTTACTTATGATTAAAAAAAGGTTCGCCCAGGTTATTACTTAAAAAAAAAAGAAGATTAGATATGTAAAATTTGAATTAACAGATGTAGGTAGCTAGATACTTCTAAATTTTTTGCATTCCTGCCTCCAATTTGAAATTTAAACATAATTTAAGCGATAATATCGATTGCAATTACAAAAGCAGCCATATTGTCGTAATTTTAATCGTAGAAATCTGTTTTACCGACCGGAAAATGTGATATTTAATCATCTTGAATATCCTATATTATTATACCCTAAACATAGTGTATACATTGTAATTTGGTGATAAATCGCTTGGTGGTTTGTTCGTAAGCGTGTTTCTCAACGTTATCGGCGTAAAGGCGGGTGATAAGCCGATAAGGCTGTGCGCTGTTGAAGCACGTTAACGTATGCAACTTTGCACACTTCTTTATTATCCTTTTTACATAAAATTCCCATCTTGCAATTCTACGACTTTACAATCAAAGATTTACATACATGTACAACCTATCCACAACTGTTATCACCCATTTGCATCCTGCATGAGTTGTAGTATCTCGCAGTCAAAATAAATAAATAATAAATTCATTAATATAATGTAATGCAAGTAATTATCATTTTACCACGCGAGATTAATGACCACGCTTGGCAAACAGCAAGTACAGCCAACAATATGCAAACAAGCCACCAGCTTCTTGTTTGCATGTTGTTTAATAAATTTAAACAAATAAAAAATTGCGCTGTACGCATTAATGCGCAGGTCACAGCCTTTAGCATACAGATACACTTACCATGTGTTCAGTGCTTGTCTGTGTACATTGAAAATTTTCAGGGTTTAGTAGAAAAAATGAATTAAATGTGAAAAATGATGTAAACGTGCTGTATGCAAAAAGTGCATTAACATTAAACGGCGCGTAAACCGAGCGTGCGCAAACATTGCAATGCAAATCGTGTGTGGAAAAATTCGATTGTATAACGCAAGGCGATTGTTTACAATCGCATGGTCTCGAGGGAGGGCAATGTCATTGTTTTGCGAATAGAGAAAAATTTTTGAGAAAATTTCAGCGGTTTGTTTTCATGCTGCAAATGTGGCAAATATAGCGACAGTCGTGTGTTGTTATGTAACGCTGGCAATATTGGCATTATCAACGGTTATCATTATCAATTGGATTTTTGAATGTTTACTATGAGCGAGCAAGTGTTTGTTGACGCCAGTGTAATTATAACTATTCGTAATTATATTTAGAATTTTTCGTATGGAGGAAAATATTAAATTATTCATAGAATAAATAAATACAAGCTATTTTTTACTGGTAATGCTTTTAAATTATTAAAATTATTGAAAATAAAAGTGTTTTGTGGTTTGTACTTAATAGTGATCAACTTTGCGTACATACAAACAATAAATAAATTAAATCACAACAGCTACAATGCATAAATAATCTAATAAATCAATAATTATATTAGTTACATTTAAAAAAACAAGTATTTTTTTAGAAAAATAGTAAATTATAAAAAAAGTAGCTTAATAGTAAAAGAATGATTTCGAAATTTTTCTCTAAATGTTTGACAAATAAATAAAATTGTTGTTTTCACACTTTTCTTTACAATTTCTTCATTTTTTCTCATTTTTTGACCGTTTCTGAGACTTCTACAAATATTTCAAAAGAAAAATCAGCAAAATCTGTTCAGCATCTTCCAGTTTCTGTAAGTTTTGATTAAAAAACTACTTTAAACACTTATTACACTCATATTTCGTTCAAATATTCGCAAATTTCATGTTTACCTATTATTTATTATCAATTATTTATTTTCAAACCAAAAATCCCTACTAATATTATAAATGCGAAAGTCCTGATGTTTGCTACACTTTCACGCAAAAACTACTTAGCCGATCATCATGAAAATTTGTACACATATCCTTAGTGGTCCCCGAATGGTTATAGGCTACTTTTTATTTAATAAAAAAATTAATTTTTAAATAAAATAAAGAAATTGTTTAGCCAATAATACCTCTGCATCTGGCTATTTGACTACTTTAACGCCATCTAGCAGTCCAGCAATGAAGCTCAAACCTAAGTACTATAGTACCATCACACTGTATTATCACACTGTATTACCGACAGCTACGTCAACATCAAATCCAATTGCCTACACTATGGAGACTGTACACTATACTTCCATAGACTATACTTTCAGCCATTTTAAACTTCCCGCCATTCTACTTCATTGTTACTTCTTCTGTGACTACAGACGCGTACGGAAGCAACTTCATTATTTTAAATATTCGCGAACGAAGCCGCGGGTTAAAGCTAGTCAAAAATATTCCTCTTTGAACTTGACAAGGATAAATCCCAAGGTCAAACCCTGTGCTTAAAACACAATATGGAAGATAAGTTTCCTTATATCCTAAAACACTATGTATATGATTACCAAATTGAATGAATATTTATTATAGTATTATAATGCCATTCACACGAATGACGTAAGCGCACAAAATATTTGTAAAATTGATAAACTCGATAGCATTACCAACTGATAACGTTTGTCCCGAGTGGATATTTGCATTTTGAAACCCGCGGAACGAATAAAAACGGAATTTCCCCCTCGGAAAATCGCTCGACATTTGCGTGGACAGTGTATACTTGGTAATGAATTCGTAAGTTGCGATAATTGACGAACGCCAAGGACAACAACGCGCGTACTTTGCATTTCATTACGACTAGTTTGAAAAAATGTATTAAGCTCCTTTACAATATACAGTGTGATTGGTAAAAAACGCGAAATTTTAATGGAAAATTTTCAGAGTTGTAAAGAAGTACAACGTGTGACGAAAGCTTTAAAGTCGACGCTTGGCGTCGTCGAAGGGTACCGCCATCGGTCTATAAATACTCCATGAATCCGTCGGCGTGGTGCTTTTGTTTCGGAAAGCTTCATTTTCATTTGAGCAACGCTTGCAAGTGACTTGTTCATTTGTTTTCGGTTTAGTTTCCTACAATTTGTTTTGATACGCGTGTTTTATACTTTTTTTTTTTTTCATTTATGTAGCATGATGATTACTTTTCGTATTTTATTTATTGTCGAGTTGTATTTCGCTCGGGTTCAACTTCCTCCCGGCGGGCGACAATAACAAACAGCCGCCGTCCGTTCAACCAACTGCTCTCATCTGCCGAGATGGAAAAAATAAATTTTCCGCTAATTAAAGGCGCGCGCGCTAATTAATAAATAAACGTTTGCGGAATAAACACGCGCGCAGCGCGCTTATCGCTGCCGGGGCGTTATCAGCGCGCGATTTGAAAGAGGCGCTAATGAACCGCGCAGCGCTGGGAGCAATTCATTACGATTCACAGAAATCACAATTGCGACTGATAACAGTACGGTGATAACAGATAACAGTAGCAAGTTGAATGTCGATTTTCACAACTGAAAGGTTACAAAATATTAAATAAATATTAATAAATACAAAACTATTCACCGATAGATGTCACTACTTAATAATTAATAATTACACAGATATTATTATTATATGTTTAAATTGTTTTAATTATTTATTGTGTACGTGCCGCATCTGTTTCTTTTTGGCGTCATTGATGTTATGGTCGTTATCGTGCGCACGTGGCGCCGCACGCAACCCCTTTGCGCATTCGGCGCCTCCCACGTGTGCATGTGTGGTGTGCGCAAAGGTGCGACACGAAGACAAGCCGCGAGATGGCAAGAAGCAGCGGTGTGTATCGTGTTACAGACGTTTGCAGCTTGCAGCAAATTAACTGTATCAACGTGCGTGCGCGTGCGCCCCCTGCTTAAGCTAAAAATATCCGCTTGCCGACGAAATGCAACACAACATGCACACCTGAATATATGTGGTACCAAGAAATTATTTTTTAATTTTTTTATTTCAGATTTTCATTGGATTTTTCTGCTGGAAATTTAATTATAAAGGTAGGTTTTATTTAATACAGCTTTTACGCGCGACTTCGCTCGCGAATATCTAAAATAATGAAGTTGCTTCGATACGCGTCTGTAGTCACAGAAGAAGTAACAATGAAGTAGAATGGCGGGAAGTTTAAAATGGCTGAAAGTATAGTCTATGGAAGTATAGTGTACAGTCTCCATAGTGTAGTCAATTGGATTTGATGTTGACGTAGCTGTCGCTAATATAGTGTGATAATACACTGTGATGGTATTATAGTACTTAGGTTTGAGCTTCATTGCTGGAATGCTAGATGGCGTTAAAGTAGTCAAATAGCCAGATGCAGAGGTATTATTGGCTAAACTATTTCTTTATTTTATTTAAAAAATAATTTTTTTATTAAATAAAAAATAGCCTATAACCATTCGGGGACCACTAAGAATATGTGTAGAAATTTTCATGATGATCGGTTAAGTAGTTTTTGCGTGAAAGTGTAACAAACATCAAGACTTTCGCATTTATAATATTAGTAGGGATTAGTTTTTAGTGGATTTTGAGTGATTAGATCTCAGATGTAGATTGGTTTAATTCGTTTTTATCGATTGTGTTTGAAATGTGCCAAATTTTGAAGTTTTTACGACCAGCAGGAAATTAACCGTGCAATGTGTGCGTTTGTATGTGAGTTCTGCCCGCCATGTGCACCGTGTGCGTCGCTTCCGGACGACATACCACTTTGAACTCCTCTCCTCTCTCTGCCAACATCGCATCCACTCGACTGCTGATGTTGTTCTTGCTCGTCTCCTGTTTTCCCGTCGCGGTCTATTCTTCTCGCCTCACACACGCATAGATATCCGATGCTTATCTCTATCTCTTTGGTGTTTGTGCTGCGTTCCTGCCATCCTGCGTTGCGGCGTTGGGATGTGTCACACGCTTATTTTTTCCACAACTTTTTTCTTCCGCTTACGGCGTACGACGGCGGCTGACGCGCAACGTGCGTTTTGTTGGTTTGTAAAGTTTAAATTAACGTAAACGGGCGAAAACCGCAAGTAACTAAATATTAGACGCGGATGAGGCAGGCGCGCTGAATCATACTGCGTTTTTTTTATGACGGGGATTAAGTGCTGTAACACGTGCGCAAATAAATTGGGCTATGAAAATAAGAAATAATTGAAAGCGGTAGAGGAATTTTCGGGCGGAAATAGGTGACTAATTATGATAGAAATGGAAATATATTAAAAATTAAAACATGTGTGTTAAACTCACTATAACTTGATAACCGTTTGGACGATTTGGGAAATTTTTGTTTGGAAATATTCGTAGAGGTGTAAGAAATGTTCTAAAGTGAGAAATTGTTAAGAAATTGCAAGGAAAAGAGTGAAAAATCAATTTTATTTGTAATTTTGTGAATTTGCGCGTTAAAAACTTAATTTCTTGACTAAACTTATCAAAAAAAGCTTCAAAAATTACTTTTTCAACTCTTTAACCATTTTACTCATAGTACAATAAAGTACTTTAGTCACGACTTTGACCATCAGTGTCTAAAGTTCACTTTTCATGCCTCAAAACCATAGAAAATAAATAATAATATAATTCAATGCGATTGTTATATTTTTATTTATTTTGTTTCTCATTTTCATGAATTATTTACGATTCAAGGTCATATGCCACCCTCACATATGCTCCAACTCTGATTTATGAAGTCACGAGTGCATTAATTATTTAAATTTTAATTATTTTTGTTTTATTTGACGTAGTCGAGCCGTGGGTGTGGTTATAAAGCGTTTTTATAGCATATTTACCTTTAACAAAAAGTGCAAAATTATTTTTAGTTCCCACTCTGCAGTTATTACGGATGGTAATCTTAGTCCGCATTGCAAAAATGCAAAATTAAATTGAACGTAAACACAGAGAATTCATGCGAAGCAAAGGGTGGAAGTTGCAAATACGGCACGTGCTCTTTAATTAAATGCGAGTGATACGCTAGGATTAGCGTTACAAAGTTTTCGATTGTGTGAATGATTAATTAACCGCCTTGAAATGGATTCATTAATATTTATATTAATTCTATTACAAAATTAAAAATAGCAAATAATAGTAAATAATTTTATTTCTTGATGATAATTTAATTTCATATTTCTATTGTTTTATATTTGATGAGTTGTTTAATGTTTTGCAGCGCCCACGCACTCGTAAAAAAAACTTAACAAACACAAACCGTTTAAGCATGACATTTGCTGACTTAAGTCCGCTCGCGGCGAGAAGACGCGATGATCTCAAAGCGTTTTTACAAAACGCAAAACGTGAAATTTACTAAATGAAATCATAAAGGTGATTTATTGATTTAATGATTGCGGCACACACACTGCTCACGGCGAGATGTGAATAAAACTCGCATCGTGAATGATGCTCAACTAGCTGCAGGACACCAATGTGCGCTTCAAATTGCCTGTGAGCATGCGACACACTCGTGAACTATCACATTTCCATTGTGCATAATTTACCGTAACTGAAAACAATTAGGAAATCGTTTTTTACACATCTTTCAAACAATACATAAATTTTATTTTGTTATGCGTTGTTAATAACGAAAAAAAATTTTGTAATGTTTAAGAAATTATTGAATTAAATTTAAATAAATCAATAAATTTTTCTGACACAGATTTTAAGTCATTTTAGAAATTTTTCTAAAATTTATTAAAAGTTTACGAAGTAATATTACCATTTTGTTTTTGATTTTCGTCAATTATGCAAGCGTTAAAATGCACATTAATAGTGTCACATCTTGCCACTGTTTGGCGTGTTCGCGCCTCGGTGACGCGAGATGATGGGCGTTCATTAATTAGCATTCGTTAAGCCCGGCCCGACTGGCCGGCTGGCCACAACGATACGCGACTGCACATCTACAGCACTCAGCGCTGGCGACGTTAGAATCGTCACCGGAAGTTCTCTAACTTGCCACTGCCACTAAAAACATAACCATACTTGACGAACAAATAAACCTTTCAGTCTTGTAACTTGCGCAAACAGTTGACACACGTGACATATACCAAAACTCTAAGTTTGAGGTTATATAAGATGAATGCAATATTGGTTGCATACTCTACTATTCAGGGAAAATGAGAATTGATAGGGTTTTGACGTTGAATACATCGATGCTAATTGTTTGTTGTGTGTTAGGCTTTGTGACAATTCCGGAAATTTTGGCCCTCGCCGAAATCATGAAAATCGATTTGGTGAGTAATCATGTCTCTCGAGATGAATTATGTTCGTATAGGACAGGAGAGGAGCATATTCTAGAAGCGCGTGATGTGGCCGATGCGGAATGCATGCATAATGCGTATGCGCAGTCACTGCTGCCGCCAACGTGTTAAACCATTGCGTTTTTATGTTGTTAGCTTTTTTTTATGTGTGCAATTATTTACTTTTATTGCTATGGCGTTAGATGACGGAATGTATTTGACAGCCTGCGGTCAACTGCAGTTAATGCGATGAGCACGATGATTGCTATCATTTACCAATATAATATTTGAAATAGGTAATAGCTTAGGGGCCTAGTGAATTATAAGAAACGTCATATTTTTGAAATTACTTCAGATGTTTACCTGAAATATTCTAGAAGATGTTTCTTTAGATATTTTATGTAATCCGAATATGAAAGGAAGATTTTAATGATATACACCTACGCATATTGAATTCTTTGATCAGTTGAAATCATGAGAGTATCAGGAAACATCTAAAAGGTATAATATTCAGTATTAAATTGGTAAATACTAATTATTTGTTTTTAAATATATTTTTTCTATTTTTTATACTTTTTTCATGGTTTTGAGACATAAAAAGTGGTATTTTAAACACAGATGTGACTAAAGTACTTTATTCACGGGTTTTAGTCACGGGGTGGAGCTAACGCCTGCGCATAAAACCATATGAATAGTTTGAAACATGATTTTTTCAATTTAAACTAATAGTATAGTTTTAACTTATCAGAATTTTATCGATGACACTAATATTGGACATTTACCAAAGCAATTTTCAACAGAATGGATCTGGGGGCGATGTGTAAGTATGTTAGTGATATAATTGAAGAGGAAATTACAGAGAATGCAACTCGATACACACGTCGCGAGCACGTGCGACCAGCTGTATGATGACTTTGTGGCATTTTTTTTTTCGATAGGTGAAATTGTTAAATGGCGTGTATTCCTAATCGATTACGTGCACATGGACGCAAGTACTTACCTAATCCACCAGTGTTAAACTTGAAATTACCAATTATTCATAACAACAATTACAATGCCCAACAATTGATATGCATTTATATTTTTTATAAGATTTTAACGTTTTTTTTCTTAACCTCGTAAATTTGAGTATTAACCAAATAGAACTTGACACATATCGAACAATTTCCGAAGATGTTTCTGGCTTGCCCGTAATCCACGCATTAATAACTAAAACGTCGTTCGTCCTTTGACGGATGTTTATCTTATTCGTTGTTCTTGTTTTCTTTCTTTCTGGAGTTATAGTACACTATTGGTGCGTTGCTGCCGTCCCCCGAAGATGGGGCTCGGTAATCTTATTTATTCATTAGCGGAAGCGAAAGGGTATGGCGGCGAAGGGTAGGTTGTGTAGCGTGTGCGTGCGAACGCAATCATCGCCATGCCAACGAGCGACGAACGCCACCGCTGGCCGTGACCGGGGCCGGGGGCGGCAGCGGGCGGCGGGCACGCATCCCCGCGCAATCGATCGGCGTGCACGGCGTGTGACGCACGGAGCGCGCACCGGTCGAAGGCCACGTGGGGGCGCACGTGCTACGATGTGCCCCGCGGGGGCGGCGTACACCCGCCACCTTCTTAGTACCTGGGCGTACCTGCATTGTGCGTAACATACACTTTGATATCAATTTTTTTTCTCCTTTTTCGTTTCATAATTGGTCATAATTTAAACGAAAATCAATAAATCACCAAAACAAATTAATTTTTTTTTACTTAATATTATTTTTTACGGAATTCATTTATATGTTGAGTTTGTA